TCTTGTGTATGGTCCAAAGGGTTTATCCTGAAAATTTGAGCGTAATCGGGTGCTTCCTTCCGGAGATATAGCCGCGCAAAGTCTGCACAATTGTTTTTGAAATACTGAAATATCAGCAAATTTCTACAAAATTTAGGTTTGCACACTATTCCGATTTTTACCGTCAATCTTTGAGCGATTTCATTAAAATTTTCTGGAGCGACTCCTGGTACTCCTCTGCGCTGCAGACTGACAGCCGCGCACGATGTTTGTCACCATGGCAACCAAGATAACTTTTGCGCATGCGCAAATTCAAAAAAATTCAAATTTCGACTCTCATGATCTCAGCTGATCGCTCTGCTGTTGAAACTAGTTTCTTTTGGAGTAATTGTTTTGGAGTAATTGTTTCTTGGAGCTAACCCCTTCGTTGGCTACTATGGGGAAGTCTAGAGCCAAGGGAAAGCCCGGACGATCTAAGAAAAGGAAAAGAACGTTCTATGGAGTGTCTCAGGCGCCGAAGGCTCCCTCTGGTGAGCCTTCGCCTGCAGAACAAATTCCTGACTTGCCACTGTCTGATGACGACCTTGAAGTGCCAGCTGAAGCCACGTCTTCAAACAGCGATAGTGATGGAAGTGGCGGTGAAGTCGACAGCAGTTCCTCCGACAGTGACTTGGATGAAGAGTGTGAGGAAGGGGCGCATGGATTTCGCCTGATTGATCTCGAGTGCCTTCAGCAGCTTTTGTCAGCTGCAGTTTGTTGCAGTGGCTGTAATGGCGCAGTCACGATCAGCGAATCGCAACGGGGAGGCCTTGCATCATGCCTGGAGCTTTCCTGTGTTAACTGCGGCGACATAGCAAGCGAATTTATGTCCAAGAAGTTCAATCGGGTCTGGGAGGTGAACAGACGAGCAGTATTCGGAATGCGACTGATTGGCCGTGGACGTCAATCAATGGTAAAGCTGGCGGGTGCACTGAATATGCCATCACCTATGAGTCGGTCGACATTTTACAGCCATGCTAAAGGCCTGCATTCCGCGTCCAAGAGCGTCGCTGAGCGTAGCATGACTGAGGCAGCTGAGAAAGCAGTGTCCGCAGCAGATGGGGGTAGCGATATCGCTGCTTCCTATGACGGTACCTGGATGCGCCGAGGATTCGCATCGCTCTTCGGAGCCTTCACTATAATTGCATATGATGTCGGCAAAGTGGTGGACTGCGAAGTGCTTTCAAAGTTTTGCCACAAGTGCACGCACTTGGCGTCTAGAAAAGAGAAGGGAGAGCTAACCAAAGATGACTATGATCGACAGATTGCCGAACACGATTGCTCAGTCAACACCACTGTATCAGCTCCTGCCATGGAGAGTGCAGCCGCCAAGACTCTGTGGGCCAGGTCCTTTGAGAGCCGCAAGCTGAGGTACACCACCTACATTGGTGATGGAGATACCAAGAGTTTTAAGGCTGTGCGTGACGCTTGTCCGTATGGGCCCGAGGTGCCTGTAGTCAAGGAGGAATGTGTCGGCCACGTTCAAAAACGCATCGGTACCAGCCTAAGAAAGCTGAAGAAAAACCTTGCGGGCAAGAAGCTTGCTGATGGGCGCACTATAGGCGGACGTGGTCGCCTCACGGATGCCATGATCGACAAGCTGCAAGCCTACTATGGCATGGCTGTGCGGAACAACAGCGGAGACTTGCAAGCCATGGCCAGGGCCATATGGGCATCCCTCATGCATCGTGCATCCAGCGACAGTAAACCTCAGCACCAGTATTGTCCGCCTGGAATTAACAGCTGGTGTAGATGGCAGCAGCAACAGGCAGGTGGTGATGTCTACGCCCACCACAATATCCTGCCAGAGGCAGTATGGAAGGAACTGAAGCCGGTCTACATTCGGTTGTCCGACCGGAGTTTGCTCGAGCGCTGCCAGAAGGGTGCTACGCAGAATCGCAACGAAGCGTTCAATGGACTCGTGTGGCAGTTGTGTCCAAAGACAGGCTTTGCATCCGCTCCCACTGTCCAGATGTGCGTCTACCTGGCCGTGGCCTGGTTCAATGATGGAGGTGTGGCAGTGAAACGCGTTCTGGACGAGATGGGCCTCCCTACTGGACACCATACGACACGTCTCATCAAGCTGCTAGACCGTGAGAGACAGGCACATGCTGCCAGAAAGAAGTCAGAAGAAGGGAAGAGGTCACGAAAGAAGCGAAGGAGGATCAGGAAGGGCATCCAGGATGAGCAGCAAGAGGAAGAAGGTTTGACATATGAAGCTGGTGGCTTCGACTAAGTTCTAGTAAGTTCTAGTTGGACAGACATACCTCCATCTGTACTTGCACAGAGCACTTTTTTCTCCATTTTCCACTGAGTCCCGTACCTCTTAGACAGCGTAGCGAAGAACCTGTAAGTCACAGACCCCATAAACCATACATTTTTGGAAACTGTGAGCATTTATCAAGGTGCTAAGTGTCATGGATTTTTATATTTGTCTAGTAGCTTTGAGTAAAGTGCTACTGATCGAGGACCTAAATTTTGCGCGATTGCATGATTTTTGTTTGACAGCTTGAGTACTTTGTTCTGAATATGATTTCAAAATTCCGCTCCACTTAGCACCTAGGTATATGTGAAGGAAATCCTGTGGAGCACTCAGTTTCTACCCAGCTTCTTTCTGCGTTTGCATATTGCGTCTAAGGTATTGGTGGTACGGCATAATCGCAGATTTGACTATTGTGTCTGCGGATTCCCATGTGTGAGCTTGATTTATACTTCATTGGACTTAGTGAAATACACTGGGTATGTGGTCAAGATTTGAGCAAAATTCATCAATTATTATGGAAGTTACGGCTGTGTTCATGCGGTCGGGCCGCGAACCCAGACTGCCACCTTAACGTCCGCGCCCGCGTACCTTTTTGCCTCCGACCGGAAAAAAAAACAAGAAAGTAGTAGTACCAATAATATGCGAAGTTGTAAATACATGATTGTGTAGTTTCACAGTGTGCCGATCATGACCTTAAACTTATAATCTTGCCTCCCGGGCATGCCTTTGTCTTGTGTTCTTTTTCTTTTTTTGTTGGCTTTTAAATATCGTACAGTGTGTGTCCTAGTAAAAATCCAGATGTAATGAATTCATGACATGCTAACTCCATGCTATGTACCTGTTTTGTTGGATTCATCAGGCATGTTATTATTATTATTATTATTATTATTAACTTTTATTTTACTAGGGTGTTTCCCACAGACCTATGGTCTTCTTACGGGAGCCCCTAGGAAGGTTATGCATGAGCGAATAAATGAGCGGTAATCGGTACAAGTACGAACAGTGGAAGGCAGCATATTCCACCGGTCAGCAGCGAGATAGCCAATCCGAGAAAAGCCAGCCGTACTCTGTGCTGGGGGTAATGCCAAAGAAAAAGACACCTGGGATCTCGTAGTGGCAGTGGTGTGAGAGCTACAGCAGCGGCTGGTAAAGATTTCTTGAAGCAAAGAGCTGCATGTTCCGCTATGGATGCACCGGAACAAAAGAATGAACAATTTCAAATTGACGCGCACCGAAATATGATAAAGGCTGTAAAGGCTAAGAATGTGTGAAGCACTGGTAAACTTATCAAAACCAAATACTATTCTGAGGGATCTATTGAACAAACGGACATACTTATCATAGTTCATAGAACTTAGGGAATGGATATAAGCGCTGCTTGCATACTCCAAGGTTGACTGAATGACACTTAAATAGAAGGTACGCCGAGCATGGTATGGCAGAAGATGGCGGGATAAGCGGTACGCACCAAGTTTCCTGTTGACAGAGCCTACAAGGTTGTCTATTTGTGGGCCAAAAGTCAAGTTTTCGTCAAGTACAATACCCAAGTAGCGAGCAGACTGCGTGCGGGGAACATGGACACCATCAATGGTGACATAGGCAGACATCGGGACATCGGTGGTCTTGCGGTGGAGCAGTATGAACTTCGTTTTAGCCGGATTTAATTTCATTCGCTTTCCTTTCAGATAATCCGATAACTTAATAAGATCGCCGTTCAATTTGTCCACGACTTCTTCAGTAGTGTCACCAGCTGCATACATGTTGACGTCGTCAGCGAACTGAAGTACAGATGAGGCACTCACACATCCAGGAAGGCCTCTTACGTAAATGCTGAATAGCACTGGGCCCAACACAGACCCCTGCGGCACTCCTTGGCTGCACGATGCACGAATCAGATTGTCCGGCGCTATGAGCTGCTGTGTCCTGTCACTCAGGTAATCTTTGAACCATGCCAAAGCCGCATCACCAACTCCACAATTAAAAAGTTCGTTCAGTAGCAGCTGATGGTTGACGCTGTGCTCCAATGTACCATCAAAGAGTGTTGTTCTATGCCTGCAAGTGCCGTTAGACCCAGAAATATTGTATATATCACATGCTTTACTGGTCAAAATGTTTGATTGGGGTTTCCAGTTTTTGGAATGGGCTTTTTTTTTTTCGCCCTCCCGCGTACCTTTTCGCGAAAAAAAGGACGTTAAACAATGATGTGGTAACAAAGGGTGGCCTTACTGTAAAAGCAGAAATTTTCGGTGGTGTTTTATTTTCGGTAACTTCGGTGCCGACAATTTTTACCGAAAATAAAACGCACCGAAATTGTCGGTACACCCGATACTGTATACATGTAGTACTAGTACACTTACCTGGAAAATGGGTTTTACCGAAAATTTCCCGCTACCGAACCGCCGATTTTGGCGAATACCGAAAATATTACACCACCGAAAATTTCTGCTTTTACAGTATTGTGTTCACATGGCAAGAAAAACGACACCGCTATGCTACGTAAGTTTCTACGTAAGGTGCTCGGTATTTCACTTAGGCTACGTAAGTCTCTACGTAAGGTGCTCGGTATAGATCTACCAACGGTTGGTAGCCGCGTGCTGTGCACGTGCACGGCAGACATTGTGTTGCATGCAGTGCAGTCCGTGTTCGGATGTGCATGCGCGAGGATTACTTCCTCCTTTAGAACTGCTTCTTGTATGAGCTGTTTCGGATATTTCGTCTCCTAGATCCTGGCCTTGCGGATAGAGTTTAATAAAGTGATGGGCCGCAGACTGGTTACAGGACCCTTGGGCTTGTTAGGCTTAGCGAGAGGTATGAGTATTCCTGGTCCAATAGCCGTCGATAAATTGGCACCCTGCGAGAGCGCAGCGTTGACGAAATTTGCTATGACCGGCGCTAGCACCTCGGATCCATATTTCAGGAGCTCTGCTGGGATTTTATCTGGACCACAGGCCTTCCCGTTTCGCAGGCGCTTGAGGGCAGTGGCGACTTCAGATTCGGAGATGGGAGTGGCGAGGGAGTATGGTGATGGCGGTGGTATTTCACCTGCTGTTTTGGCACTGAATTGTGAGGAGAAGTGATCTCGAACTCGACTGGCCTTGTCTGTGGCATGAGCAAGAATACATCCATCAGCTCGCTCGACAATCAATGGTGATCGTTGTCCACTACCACTCTTTAGCTGCGCTGCTGCAGTAAACATCTGAGCAGATGTAGGTGCCTTTTCAACCCGCTCTGCAATCCTATCCAGGCGTTCCATGGCATCGCTGCGCTGAATATTTCTGATCTGGTGCATGATGCAGTTCCGTTCCCTCTTTAGCTCTTCTGGATTGTGATGGCCTGATTGCTGAAGTAATCTGATTTCCCGTTGGCGCCGTGAGAGGGTTTCAACCTCTGGATTAGGTACACAAACCCTGCGTGAACCGCTTCTGTGCATGCGTCCAAGAGTGCTCTCTGCCACGTCCATGACCGCTTGCGCTGTTGAGTCCCAGGTACTGATCACGGAGCCACTGTCAGATGACCCACAAAATGCAGGTTGTTCACGCAGTTTCTGGCAGAGGCTGGACTGATATTCCTTACGGACGTCAGCGTTTTCTAGTCTCTGGATTGCGATGGGAGCAGCGGCCTTGCCTGCTGCGGCAATGTGTACACGGTATAGACCAGTCAGTTCCATGTCCGCAATGACTATTTTATGATCGCTGAATGTCTCGGTTCCAGCATACGAACGAGCTCTCACAACTAGTGGCTTGTAGCGCTTTGGGATCATGATGTAGTCAATCATGTTGTGGATCATTTTCCTGAGGCCATCAGGGGATGCCATGCATCCAGTCCATGTGGTTCTATAGCGCATTGAGTAGCGGAAGAGCGTATTAGCCAACACCAGATGATGCATGTTAGCCCACTCTACCAGCGCTTGACCATTGTCATTTCTTACACCTTTGCCATATTGACCCACACACGCTGCTTCACCTGCTCCGACCTTGCTGTTAAAATCACCAAGCCCAATCACGAGTGTTCTTCCACTGCACTTGTTCCAGGCTGTGGACAAGGCATCATAGAACCTTTCACGAACCTCAGGATTACTCTGCGCTGCTGGGTTTGTGGGGCCATATGCCACGACGAAACGAACAGGTAAGGTATTGCCCTTGCCTTGCGGAATGGAGAGGTCGACAGTTCCGACTCGGTCGGAAATTTTTTTGAATGTTGATACAAATTTGTTGAGCATGTTCGATATGACAAATCCATTACCTCCATGCCGGCCCTCTGCTTGACCGAAGCTGACAAACCGATGCGAATCACCGAGAGGCTTATCGACGGTCGTTGTCATCTTGAGCTCCTGAAGTCCGCAGAAATCAATACGATAGGCGTCCATGTCACGAGCTAGTTGCTGTTGCTTCGACGCAGAACAAAGTCCGCGCACGTTGAACGTGGCGAAACGAAACCCCCGGGGTAGCATTTTTCAGAAGAGTTATTGAAAGTTATTGAAACGTTAGATGTCACAAGCTTTGACAGTCAGGTAAGAAGGACACTGGCCACAAGTCTGGTTGCTCAGCTGAATAAGCTGGGTGTGCCAATGAAGACCATGGAAGACCTTTCCAGGTGCCGACAGCAAGCAGCAGACAAGACAGACTGGAGGAAACTGTGCAGCTCGACACCCGGCGAGAAATCGGTATCAGCAGCTACTACACCTAGCTGATGATGCTCACAAGACAGAAGCGGAAAAAACACTGAATTTCTTTATTTAGTGCTCTACTACGCGAAATGTGCTATTATTATTATTATTATTAGATCCTGGCCTGGCTTATTTCGTTTCGGCGCTGCTGAGACCTCCTTTCGCGGAATATTACTCAATATCGACAGGTGAGTTGACCAGTTACCTTTGATTCTTTTGCTTGTGTTGACTCTTTCATTTACGAAAAGTGTGCTCATTTTCGGCGGAATGCAATAAATAATGGAAAAGCTGGCAGGATCTCTTTTCTAAATTTAGCTTTTCCGCTGCCGAGGCCCCCTTTTACGGAATACTCGATGACAGGTGATCTCTGAGTTGACCGGTTTCCTTCGATTCATTTGCTTATGCTCACCCTTTCATTTACGGAAACGTGTGCTGATTTTATTCGGATTTAGATCCATTTTTATCTCTTTGCCCTTGTCTACAGTGTGCGAAGAACGCGAGTTCACCTTCTTGACGGTAAGGCTTATGTTAGATGTGTTGTCGAAATACTCATATTCATTGTACATTGGTACGTTACAAGTAAGGCACTGGTCAGTGGCATACTATCGTTGGCAGTTCCCAATCTGGAGGGAAAGGTTCAAGGACCCATTGACCGAGTTTGCAAAATAAATTCGCATATCAGGGAAAATCTCCATTGTGGAGAGGTTCAGTAAACTTGTATGATTAGATTTGTTTACTCGAGTCTGGGCTGTTTGATTTATTATTTGTGAGTTCCGCCGAGATTGCACTGCCCCAAATGAAGTTTCGTGCCGCCAAGGCAAGAATTACGATCTGCAATCTGTTTGTAGTACCTGCAAGAATGTGCTGTACATGTATCGTACTTTCTCTGTTGCTGTTTCAGTTGCCGTCATGTTGCTAAAGAAACGTTCAGTAGAGAGGTTCTGCAAAACGAAAATTCGAACGAAGTTTCGCGACAGTCATTGCGAAAGTGTGTACGATTTTTTGCACAAACTTTGCGTTCTGCACGTTTTCGTAGTTTGCGCGGGCCAAGTGCACGTACGCCATGACCCGATCTCACGAAAGTGTGTACGACTGTTCATTTCGCGTTCCCTGCAAGTTTCGCGTCCAAAGTTGCGAAGTTTCGCACTTCAGGACGTGGAACGACTGTTTGTACGCATTTTCGTTTTGCAGAACCTCTCTAGTGACTCATTTGTTTCATACGAGACGAGTCAATGAGTTGGTGTGGCTTAGAATCTTTCGCTGTAGAAGAAATCTATTCGTATGTCTATTGGAGAAATAATTGTATTCACTGGTTATAGAATGGGTTAAGACAAACTCACAGAATAAATACCATCGGTCCCTTGGTGTTCGTCCCAAAGAGGTTCCAGGGTTCGCAGCGAAGTTTGGAAGTCTGGAAAAAGTTTGGATTTTATAATTCACTTTTCCAGGTCTGGAAAAAGTTTTGAAAAGGCACTCCTTTTGGAATAGTTTGGAAAAAGTTTGGAATTTCGAGTTTTTGGCCGTGGATGTGCTGCACTCCTGCAGTGCAAGTGGCCGTTTTGACTACCGCGATAGAAGACGCGCTGGCGATGTGTGGTGTTCACTGATGTACGAGTCTCGTCCAGTCATTTCAGTGCAGCTCAAGCACGGCCGGTGATGACTTTTATTTGGCCGTTTTTCGTTACTGGCGCTCGACTTTGATTCTTTGAAGTCGGGACAGCAGGATGGCGAGGTCCTTTCGCACTCAGATGAGTTTGCTGGCGAGGATGAAGCCGTCTTTTGCGCTGAGACGAACACCAGCTATGTAAATGTTTCATTGGAACCCCTTCTGGAGGCGGATTTGAACTTACGGAGGAGAACTCTCGTCGTATGAATTCCCCTGCTATTTTCGGGGGCTCTAGCTGCTGAAGGCGATACCATTGCAATGCACCTTGGTGAATTTGTTGATGGTAGTGGTACCAGGGAGGATTTTACTACTCCCTGGTTGTACTCGTAGTGGAGAATACAGTCCTGCAGAAGAGATTCATAATTTATTTTTCCTGCACGAGTGGGTTTGGAAATTCTTAAAATTGGTTTGGAAAAAGTTTGGAAAAAGTTTGGAATTTTGTGTGCTTGGTTGGCTGCGAACCCTGAGGTTCGACTGTTCATACTCACCAAAAAATGTGTACGATTCTATTATTATGGAGTGCCTTGTTTATCTCTCAGTACCTCCAAGCATAGCCTTGCCCCTTTTATCCTCAGGATCAGTGTAGTTGTTGGAACGAGGTGTCGGACTCAGCAATTTATTTGTTTACATTTTAATACATGTTTATTGTTCCTCCTTTGCTGTGTTGTTTTAGAAAATCGTGGACTAACAGTTCGAAGTCATTGAACTACTTCCAAAAGTTGTATCGACATCAACAGGGTTACGATTTCAGTGCAATATGGTGCAGGATGACCTTATCACGATAACCCATGATTATAAACCATTATAAACACAGAATCAACAAAAACATCTGCGACACGCACCTGGTTACATTTCTCAAATAAATCTGATCGAGGGTGGGGAAATCTGAAATATCTGAAAGGCAAGACAATTTTATGACAGAGTCATGAAATTCTGCTACAGCAACATGCACAGAATGACCTCCGTATAAAAAAGGTATCACCACGGTCCACCACTATTCACATGTATCCCCGCAGAAGAACATGCTAGTCCCATTTTCTGCAAGAAAAGGCTTGCACACATCAATGCGTATAATACGGTATTGATATGATGTGAAGGCCATCATTTACATATTGATAGCGCATTTCATTGATTGGTGACAGAAAAAACAGAAGAAATTATAGCAATAAAAACTGCTTTATGGCAGTTTTCTAAAAAAAGTTATTGTGTTCTTAGATGACCTTTTCTCCTCGTGATCCTCTTTCCTATGCATGCATGTTGCCAATTGTTGGTGGAGTACAAGTCTAGTGTTGAAAGCAGCATTTCAAGTGTTGTGATTATTGTGAGGTTTTGTGTGAAATTTTAATTTTCAGCTATCACATTTCGTTAATTTCTTACTTTTTAGACGGGGTCCATTGACAAGAACACAATAACTTTTTTTAGAAAACTGCCATAAGGCCAAACTAAAGAAGGTGTGTGGTTCGACTCACCCGACCGACCATACAATTTCAGCCCGACCGTAACTTTTTTTCGGCGGGCTGTCGTGTGACTGACGTACGTGGACTGAACACGTCCACGTCTACGTGCTGTGCGGCGTGAGTCTGCGGACGCAGGCGGCTCCTTTTGGACTTGACTTGTAGTTGTACTGCAGTGCAGTGCAGTGAGTGGTACGACTGCTGCCTTGTGCTGGTAGTAGAGTCTACTCGATACGCGTATACAGTGTATTTACATGTACTAAAAAATATATTTAAAAAAAAATCCGCCCGCCCGCCCGTAAAAAAAATGTCCATGTTAGTCGAACCACACACCTTCTTTAGTTTGGCCTAAAGCAGTTTTTATTGCTATAATAAAAAGATGGGTCCTGGCTCTGGCGAGCTCCCGTATTTGGCGATTTTTCGTGATTTCATCGTACACAGTGCAGTGCTGCGAACTTTGAAATTTGAAAAAGGGTCCAAAAAGGGTGCCTGAACTGGGGTTCGAACCGCAGAATGCACTGTTGCAGGCGGGGTCAAACGGCCTGGATTTTGATGGTTTTTCCCAATTCAGTGCTTTTGGGGCAAAACCTGGCCGAAATCCTATTCTTGCTATGGCTTGCTTTTTGGACAAAAGAACTTCAGAAACATAATTGGAAGAGGATTCCATAATTATGGGATAGCAGAAAAAAATTCTAAAAAAACTCAACGTTTGACCCATTTATGGCCAAAAGCTAGAAGTTCATTTTTTTCTGAATGGACTGTAGTACTAGTACTAGTGTACGCGAGTGTGCATGGTGTCATGTAGCCGCCAAGGCGATCGGGGTTTCCCCTCTTGACGATGCATCGAGTCCACATGTACTAGTACATGTTTGTGTTACAATTTTTTTGAAAATGTTCCACAAAGAAGGATGTGATCGTGACACTAATAGGAACGTTTTTGCTAGGCTTGGACCATGGTGTACCGCTTTGCCTGTCGTTGCGGCAAGGCTGCATCACGCAGCACTTATGCAGTGTTTAGGAGTGCGGGCACCATCGCGAACAGTCCTGCAAGTTGTGGCGATAAGGAGTATAATACAGTCATCGTAGGAGCAGGTAAATGCCATTAGCCAGTCATGATGTGCGATTAATTACTAGTACCCAATTTGTTTAGTTAGCTTGACTTGGAACAGTCAACTGGTAGAGTTACTCGTTGGGGTGAAAAAACTGACCCTATTCCCTATCGACTAAAATTCAATCTTATCGACTGACATAATCATTGCCCCACGCGTGAACACATACACAGCATATTTACACATACCCATATTTACACATGCCCATGCACATGCGTTTTCACTCACCCACAAATAACACAACCACACTACATGTACACAGTTAGATCGGACGCCGTAGAGAGAGAACTTTACCGTAGCCTATTAGTCCGTGATCGTTTGGTGGGATCCAGAACCAGATCCATAGGATCGACTGGATCTGCAGTGATCGATTGGTTGGATCCTGATCCAGATCCTTCGGATTTGGATCTGAGCAACCCTGCCCCGGGGAAAATCGCGGAAAAAAATCGCAAAAACGCGGGGGAAAACGCGGCATAATATGGCATAATTTGCGGTGAATTTGCGGTAAATATGCGGTGAATATTAATTATTATTGATATGCGGCAAGTTTGCAGTTGATACAGTCGACCTACCCTTATAACGATAACCTCTATAACGATATTACCCTTATAACGATATTATTCTGCCAAACCAAATCACTCCATTGACTTGTGTATACAATGCCTTGCCTCTATAACAATATTGCTATAACGATATTACCCCTATAACAATATTAAAATGGGCTGACCAATCGACATTTTCCATTTTATAACAATGTCTAGCAGGGAATATGTAGAGCCCACTATCCAGGTAGGGCAAGCTTCACTTGATAAGTCGCTGGGACATGACGGAATGTAATGGGGCACCAGTGGGCACCTTGCTGTGTACATACTGGGCATGTACGTCAGTTTTTTTATGCTATGAAGAGTGTAAAAAATGCACAAAATCCATGCATTATGACGTATGTGTATGAAATGAGCCAGTTACCCCTATAACATTATTACCCTTATAACAATATTTCTTGGTGTGACGCAAATATCGTTATAAGGGCAGGTCGACTGTATGAGGCAATTTTCAGTGAGTATGTAGTGAAATCAATCAGTTACAAGTCTCTGGTGTAAGCACTCGTCATATTTGAGTGCAAAGCCGCCACGATGAGACGTTGCTGACCGAACAGTGCACTGTGTGTACGTGTAGTGCAACAAAAAAGTTCAAAAAACACGGGAAAATCGCGGAAAACGCGGTCTTTAAAAAAATCGCAAAACGCGGAAAAAAACGCGGCCGCGGAATCGCGATTTTCCCCGGGGACAGCCCGGGAGCAGGGTTGACTGGATCCTATGGATCCATTTTCACCAAACATGACATTTGTATGTGTTTGGCGGGTAACACTCATTGTTATACGCATTTTGCCAATGAGTTTGGTACACATACACGTGGAAAAGCGTTGCACCATGCAGGTGAGTACGACGAATACGAACCTGGCGAGTAACTTTTCGAGCGTGGTTTTTCTACCTCAGCATAGTCACGGCAGCGGTGTGCTCCAAATGTGATCGATTGATTCTGAGGGACCTAGTGGATCTGGATCTTGATCTGGGTCCGACGAAACGATCACAGCCTTGGACTGGAAAATGGCACAAATATTGAAATTTATGAACAATCCAGGCTAGATTTTCAGATTTGAGAACGCATGTACTGTTTTCTACCTGTTTTCCACGCGACGTGATCACATTGTATGATGCTCTCCATAATCGAAGAATAAGAACAAAACGACTAACTCCGTTTTCCATTCCTTCACCTTATGAATAAAACGACTAACATTTGAACATTAATTTTTAGAACAATGCCAGGCTGCGCCTTGAGCCCCTGCGTTCTTCGGCGCCCGATCTTACTCTAGTAAAATAGTGTGCTAGCAAGTTTCAAAGTTCAAACTGACCCATGCCGTATTGCTGTAATGTACCGTTGCCCCCCCCCCCCCCCCCCACACACACATGCCGTGTTGCCTCCCAGCTGGTTTTTTCACTGGGGGGCTGGAATTAGATCAAGTCGGTCAAGCGAAGTGCGATATACAACGAGGCAGAAGATCAGGCTTGGCATGTTAGATTGTGCACATTTCCGTCCTGCACTGGCTTGTATTGTGTGCAGCAGTGCACACGTCGGTTCAACACCATATTTCATTGATACAATGCTAGACACCGAAGTCTCTTCACAGGCACAATTTCGACAGAGGGCGGAAGTTAGAGGGGGGGGGATCAACGGTACTTTACAGTATGTGCTTTTCCACCACTCTTATACTACTGTCATGTCCTGTGTCACGCAGTCGAGTAGCAATGAAATGAATTTGTGCACTAAGTGCATATCACACGCAGCCTGAACTCGCAGGACAGGTGCATGGGCTACATATACATAAATGTTTATGTAAAAAAAGAGAAGAAACACATGAGAACGAGTTATGCAGCAACTATCCACGACTGTAACAATATGATAAACGGTCAGAAAGTGCGATAATAGGGCACAAAACTGACAGGCTACTGAGACATTCAGCGACCCGAGACCTAGCTCTAACACATCTCCAGTGCGCAAACCAACAGCCTTCCAACTTGGAAGGTTCATGGTTACGTAGGACCGAAGAGGGGAAGGTGAGCGCAGCGAAAATGTGCACAAGCTAAGTCCCGCGGCAACAAAGAATGCCGACTGTTACAGATAGTTGCTGCATAACTCGTTCTCATGTGTTTCTTCTCTTTTTTACATTTTATTACTGGCTCGGTATCCGAGAATAAATGTTTATTTTATACAAATAATCTACAGTCCACAAAGGACGAAACAGTTCTGTCCGCAGATTGAGTACAAATAATCTACATGGAGATAACAATTTAAATAATGCCATGAATAATTCCTATAGCTAGTTACCGTATTTCCCCGAATATAAGTCGCACCTTTTTACTAGGGGTGAAACGATTATACCGAATACTCGAAATAGAAATCGTTACAAGCTAACGAATCGATTATTCGAAAAGTTGCTATCGAGTAGGGCTCAAACGGTCACGGTTTTACCCCCAACGGTTAACTGCTAAGCTAACGGTCGGTTTAACGGTTATAACCTATAAGCCACGGCAATCCTGCGGACTCTTTTTTAACCGTATATTTGACTATACTTATTCAAAAAATGTACCCTATTCAGTACAACGCACACATGTATATTCTCTTGCATGCTCATTCATACATGCTCTCACACGAAGAGACCAGATATGACCGAGTTGACAGCCCAGAAATTGCGTACGCGTGCGACAGCCTGCGAAAGTGCATACTTTGCAACGACCTGATACTTGAAAAAATTGACTGAAAAGTTACTGCGTAACCGTTATCTTTATCGGTTAACCGTTAATTCTTCGTAACCGGTCTGCAACCGGTTAATCGGACTAACCGTTTGAGCCCTACTATCGAGCATAACTGACTACTGAAGTGAATATATCGAAACAATATGGCTCAAACCTGAAAATGGGGGTGCGACTTATAATCGGGGAAATATGGTATCTAGAATCTCACCTCATATTTAGTGGACCATGCTTTAGCCAACCCAAAGCAGACTGCGTGTCGATCATGACTGGATCAATGAATGGCAACATGCTTGTATCTTCCTGTAGTGCAGCTACATCGATGAGTCCATAATGCAGTGCTGCCAAACCGTCCGATTTTTCGGACAGTGTCTGATTTTTGAAGACTCTTCCGAAAACCGGTCCGAAAAAGGATACGTCCGAAAAGCAGCTAAAATGTCAGGGATCAGTACTTTCCTATGCAGAAGTCCTGTAGTATTTTCACTTTTCAGCGCAACTGAAGGCACACATCACAGTACATGTGCATCTAAAATGGCTACCGTAGTGACGCACATAAAGGCACATGCGCTTATGAGTGAGTTAATGCGGTTTTTGCTATTTTTGCGGGCCGTATTGTCTCACACATAGGCGCATGCGCTTCAGTTGCTAGTGTACCGGTACCTTGCATATTTATGCATATAGTGCAATACCGCACTGCACATTGAACTACGTGAACATGGTGTTTTTGTGGTGTCCGTGTGTCGCGGAACGGACTGCATTTAGGTTCACTTATAAGCCCATGCGCTTATTTGTGAGGGTGCGCTTATGCCCGGGTATAGGCACATGTGCTTATATGCGCGTCACTACGGTAGCGCTGGGCTGGGAAAGTGCAAAGTAACACGCCTGGATGGCATGTACACTGTACAGACTGTGTCAGTGCGTAGCCACACTCATGCAGTACAAAAATCATGACAACTTCGGGGCGTCATATCGGTTACCATGGCAACGGAGCGAATTTTCTTGGTATTTTGGGTGATATTTTGAAATCTCTGGAAAAAAAATTGCTGAGAAGAAAAATTCGCATCATGTGGCCAGCCTTGGCAGTAAAGGGTGTCAGATTTTGGGCGAGGATTATTTGGCAGCACTGATCATGGCATGGGCGTGGAATTCCTAGCTATGTAATTTCCTCATGCTGTTCGGAAGTCAAAGCCGTTTTGAAAGGCGTGTGTTCCTGTTTTTTTAAAAATCTTTCTTTGCACCACAGGTCACAATGGGCTCATTGCAGTAAGTGGACTGTTTTCTTCTCATCTGAAGTGGAATGTTTACTGAGATGGCCATTTATTTCAAGCTGCGATGAACCATGGGTGTTGTGTGAGCGTTGTGATACCTGCATGTGCCCAACTCGGCTCTGTTCCAGCGTAAGCGTCATGTGCATGAATTTCCCATGACCATTATGGTCATAGGGGCACCTATAATTGTAATGCTTCAGCAGACAGCAGCAGGAGAGACAAAACTGCTGCAAAATAACGTTGACCCCCCCCCCCCCCGTTGTTTTTCTACCTGTGAAGCGAGTGTATACGTCAAAATACGGTGTGGAGCCAGCGCATGCCTTGCACAAAGCAGTGCCAAGCCAGTGCAGGTATTCCTGTGGATGGAACTGTGCACAATCCAGCACTGCAAGTATCATATATGGCCTTTGCGTTGTTGTACATCATACTGCTCTTGGCAGCCTGGATTTAAATCCCACCGCCTGCCGGAAAAATAGCCAGGAAGCAACACGGCGTTGGGGCGGATCAATGGTACTTTTACGGTATGTGCACTTAAAACAAGCTGCTTATACCTATAGTATAGTATAGTATTTATTCATATTTCTCTAGGGCAGTCCCCACAGACCTATGGTCTCCTTACGGGGTACCCTAGCCAATCTAGGATTGCGATACAAAATTGACTTGGTGAAGCAGCAAGGCGGACCGATGCCGGAACTGAGTTCCAGCGGTCAGCGGCTAAATAAGAAAGAGAGGAATAACCAAATCGAGAGGAGGCTCGTGGCAGTACTTGGCATTTTCATTGACTCTAATCTTTCATGGGAACCCCACATCGATTACATATGTAAACGATCAAGTTCATCTTTAGGAATCCTCTCTTCTCACTGTTACCATCTCCCAATCTCTTGTAAACTCCTCTTTTACTCAGCTTACCTACGCCCCATTTTTGATTATGCAGATACTGCTTGGGCTGGAATTTCCACAACCCGTGCTGCCAAGCTCGAAATTCAGCACAAAAAAGTTCTAAAAATCCTCCTCCGAAAACCCCGCATGCTCCCATCTTCCACCCTTTATGCCCTTGCTGACACTACCCCTTTGTCTAAGAGACGTAATTCACATCTTGTCACCCTTATCCATTCTCTCAAACTCAATCTGTGTCCACCTCACCTCCACTGTTTCAACTGGTTTTCTTCCCGTAGCACGAGAAACTCCCTTTCTCTTCCGAAACCCAAGTCCTCATTTCTACTTCACTCTCCCCTTTTCACTGCGTACTCTGCGTGGCTGGCACTTCCCCAAGAAGCTAAGGACCTTTCTTCCCTCCGCCTTTTTAAGAGCCTTGTCGCACCTTGACTTTAATTTTGTGTTTCTCATTTTGTTGCAATCACTACTTATCCATGCCGGTTCCTTTTTTTCTTCTCCTCCCCTTCTCCCTTCCTTGCCGTGGTTGGCTAACATCCTCTCTCTTTGTATTGGCCGGTGTTCTCACTGTGCTATGAGATGCTGTAATAAATAAATAATAAATAAATAAGTACAAGTCCAAGCGAGACTTGAGACCTTGTGCAGGTGCGGCTACGTGCCTCAGAATTGGCACGAAGGCAGAAAAGGCGGCACAGAAGTGAGCTGGCAGAAGAATGAACGCATCTGAATACAAGGAGATACAGTTTAAGAGAGAGACGGATAGTGATGGGTGTGAGATAGTTTCGAGACAGAATACACTGGACATCTGCGGTGGGTGGGTAGCCAAATACAGTACGCAATGAACGGCGAGAGATGCGGGTGAGAGAATCATATTCATGTTGTCGCAGACTGTGTTCATAAGCATTGCTTGCATATTCCAGTGTAGACTGGACAAAAGAGAGATAAAATATGCGTCTGGCTGCATTGGTCAACATGGTGCGGCAGCGCCGAAAGGCATTCACTTTTGCACTGACCTTCTTTCGGAGTGCATCAACTTGCTGACGGAATGTCAAGTGCTCATCAATAATGATGCCAAGATACTTAGCACAAGATGATTGTTCAACCACAGTGTCACAGAATCGCAACTGACGGGATGCCTGCACGGTGGGCTTCCGCAGAACAAGAAACTGAGTCTTTGCTGGGTTTAATTTGAGTTCCCTGGAGTGCAGAAACTCGCTGACTGAGTGCAAGTCTTTCTCAAGCTTTTCTATTGCTGCATCGGCAGTCTTGTCTGCAACATAGACATTTGTATCATCCGCATAGAGTTGGCTGGTGGGGAAAGCCAAGCATGTTGGAAGAGAGCGTGTGTACAGGGTGAACAGAAGCGGACCAAGTACAGAACCCTGAGGGACACCACGGTTGGCAGAATACTGTTCTCCCGGGGGGTTGCGGCGACGTACAACTTGCTATTGACGACTAGACAGGTAGCTGCAGAGCCAGGCCAGGGCTTTACCACCTATACCACACACATGGAGCTCCAGGAGAAGTTTGTCGTGCTGAACACAGTCAAAAGCTTTACTGAGGTCCAACATTGCCACCGCTACAACATTTCCATTGTCTAGAGAACGTTGCCAACTGGCAATGCAAACAGCCAGTGCGTCTTCACATGAGTGGGATTGACGGTACGCGAATCATGAATGTACTTGAAGCGAATGGGATTTTCTGTCTTTGACCACTTTGTGGAGGGTCTGATCTACTCACCTCCCACCGCTTTAGGAGCTGCATATGCGCCTTGATCCTTAAGGGTGGTGGCATTCCTATGGGTCACGGCGGGAAATTCGGTCTGACTGAGTCACATGCGAACTGTGAAAAATGTATATAATTATACCTCTCAAGTTCAACCGCAACGAGAGAGGGAATATAGCCTTACACAGCGTTTGGTTTACTACTGTAGTATATTTGATTATTCTGCTGCATGCAGGCAACATACTTGGCTCGAGGTGGTCGAAAAGTTCTGATTCTAGAAAGACGTCACATAGCTGGTGGAGCAGCGATCACTGAAGAAATCGTACCAGGTGAGGTTGTTGAGCACGCAGTGTTTGTTGGTTCCGGCGAGCTTAGCTTTGCCCCCACAAAAGGTCAGTACAGTATTTGAAATATGGATCCATGTACACTGCATGTTTGCCTTCATTGGGTTTCATCCTATTCACTTGTTGTGTCATGTAATGTATGCCAACTGTGCCTTGTGTGTTTGCTGAAGTTTGAGTTGTGCTGAGCTGTGGGGCGTGTACCCACATCTGACTGTACACACATGTGTTCTGCGGTCCTTGTGAGCAGGATTCAAGTTCTCCCGTGCATCCTATCTGCTCAGTCTTCTTCGGCCACAGATTCTCAAGGACTTGGACCTGAAGGTAAGAGTGTGGTCAGTGATGGAGCTCCTCTGCTTACCTAGCAAGCAGAAAGCATGTCAATGCAACGTATGGCTTAGGGTGGCTAGCTGCATGTAGCGTTTTTAGAATGCGTCTCTCCGAAATGGATGGTGCCCGCCACTTTGATGCTGCAGACAGGACAAACTGCATTGGGTACAGAATGTTTCTGTGTGTGATGATATCCTCTAGTTTAACATCTGCTGTCTTTTGTGTGTCTGTGTTATCCATGCCATCAGGGACATGGACTCCGACTTCACAAACGAGACCCGTCCTCCTTCACTCCTCTTTGGACAAAGTCCACGGACCAATCGAGTCGACCAGCTGGCCTGCTTCTTGGCTCTGATGCGGAGCAGAATCGAAACCAGATAAGCCAGTTTTCAAGCAAAGATGCTGAGGTAGACGCTACTGCTTGCAGAGCCTAGCAGCTGTATGTGTAAATGTACTTCCTCTGGAAGCAAAAACTTTGTGACTTTTATATCCACATTCTAAGGAATTACTGTGCTCAACAGATTTGGCTCATGGGAATTAACCAAATTCAAAACAATGAGTGGATATACTTCTTTTGAGTATGTACACTATTATACAAAAGAAGTTGACACCATTTGAGTCTCACTCGGAGTGGCTATTGCTCAATTCCTCAGAACTATTAGGTCCATTGAAGTCAAGGTTTTTTTTGTTTCCGGGGGAAGTATGTGCTGTATCTGTGCATGGCGTTCTCCGCTTTTTGTCCAGTTCTCGAGCAGAATAGCAGTATTTAAAACGCTATCTGGCTGTCTTGCTCGTTGGCAATTGCCGCATGCACGCAACCAAACAGTTCCTCTCCGGGACTGGTGTGATAAGGTGTCACATGCCAGCTGCTGTGCCATTGCCATTCACCCTGCAAGTTCTGTAGGGGCTTGATTGAACAGGTGGTAGGTGCGGGTCAAACCTGTGCTCATTGGGCAAACCACTGTGTTCAGATAACCAGATTCTTTTTGAAGACCAGTGCTTTGCCTTCACTGCCACCCATCGGGAATCTATGCTTAGTTGGTTGCTGGATCCATGTTAGCCGGCCGCTGAAGACACATGATCTCTGGCAATAGTTACACAGTCCATAGGTATTTAGTATTAATTTTACTGTAGCTGCACGTGGGAACTTAGATAGATAGATAGAGACAGACAGGCAGACAGACAGACAGACAGACAGACAGACAGACAGACAGACAGACAGACAGACAGACAGACAGACAGACAGAGACAAAGACAGAGACAAAGACAGAGAGAGACAGAGAGAGAGAGACAGAGAGAGACAGAGAGAGAGAGAGAGAGAGAGAGAGAGAGAGAGAGAGAGAGAGAGAGATAGAGAGAGAGAGAGAGAGAGAGAGAGAGAGAGAGAGAGAGAGAGAGAGAGAGAGAGAGAGAGAGAGAGAGAGAGAGAGAGAGAGAGAGAGAGAGAGAGAGAGAGAGAGAGAGAGAGAGAGAGATGCAGTTCAAACCCATGAGATGTGCTCGTTGTGTTTTGCTTGGATGTGCTTTGTTGTTGGCGTGTACTCAGATGTATGGCAGGTATGAAGAGTTCATAGCAAGAATTGGTAAGTGTACATGTCCACTGAGACGCATAGCTGCAGTCCAGTATGGCGTTAGTAGGATATAGACTGCATACACCACCTTACTCACAGCTAAGTCCAGCATGAAGTTGATATACAGCACTTTCTATACTATAATAGGTCCTAGGTATGACACCAATGTGTGCAATGATGAGTGATGAATGCTTTTGCTACGCAGGCTTTTTTCAGTAGTGAAGTGATGGCCAATGTTGCGGTGTCGTAGATCCAGTCCAAGATGGTGAATTTTAATGCTCACTGTTGTCGTAAGATGTGGACCATGTACATGAACAGATGGACTTGTGTATGTGTGCATGGCTGACTAGCTCATGCTTCCATTCCCCTTACCTTACCTGATGTGAATTTTATGTCTGGGTTTTGCTGCTTAGCTAATAGTGTCGATCCACTTCTGGACAGCGTTCCATTGAACATGGTGCAGAAGTCTTCGTCAATTTCGTCAAAAATGGGTTCTCTACGAGCATTGCTGAAAGCAGGTAAAAGAAACGATCGTGGCGAAACACCACACTGTACAGCATTGCACATTGTGTACGAAGTGACAGTGTTCTTGTCGACATTGGCATAGCCATAGGTTTGTCTAGGCTGTATCTGCTGTTGCGCTGGTGCATTGGCATAGGTTTGTCTAGGCTGTATCTGCTGTTGCGCTGGTGCATGCAGATTGTCTGCATCTACTCTAGTCTAATATCTGTGTGCTCGTATTGGGTCCAAAGATTTTCACCCGTGTGCCATGAGTCATGACCAGTTCCGTTCAGATGCATGTGCACAGTAGTAATCAGTGTGCTTCACTCTCAGACTCTATGTGCACATGCTAGTACATGTATGTGGACATGCTAGTACAATACATGTACTAGCATGTTAACTATGTTGTCACTGTCAGCTGTGGTTCGCCGAGGTGGGAACCCACCGAGGTGACTGTGCTGAGAATGTGTCATTTCCCCTCATCTGTAGGTCTCGACTCTCTACATGTGCATTACCGGGCCAAAGCTATTTTTTGTTACCGGTATGACTGCTCCTTTCTTTGCCATGCTGAGTCCCCAGCAGTATCTGATGTAGATGCTGGTATGTCTGTACACACATGTTTTTGTTCGGTAGGTTCTCGGCTTGGGCTGAAGCACTTACCTGGTGCGTATGAGCTAATGACATCTCCTGCAGCAAAGGTGACGAATGCCTACTTCTCAATCCCAGTACCTTGCATAATGAGCTACATGTGTACATGTACTATGACTACTAGCTGCTTAGAGGATTGGCGTGGTCCCATCTTAGAGGATTGGCGTGGTCCCATCTTAGAGGATTGGCGTGGTCCCATCGTCCAGAAAGATACATGTACATGTGCGCTTGCAACCCAAATTCAGTCTTTCAGGTCTTTTTTGGTTGGCAAACACAGCTTACATGTAGTAATAATATTTGGGTTTCCTGGTATTGTGCATGTGCTTCTTACCGTACTGTTCAGGTCTTGGATAAGTGGTTTGAGGGTGACGTGCTGAAGGCTGCACTGGGCACCGATGCCATTATCGGTGCAATGCTTAGTCCCTACTCCCCAGGCAGCGGGTAAGACAGGGTAGCTGTTGTGGAGAGATGCATGTATTAGACAGTAGTTATAGGTGCAAGACGCCGAACACTCTTCAATCCTGTACCCCATTGAGTCTGTTTTGGATACGTACTGAGGTATGGCCTGCGATTTGATGGAAGTTTAGAAATAACATTGCATGCGAGGTTTCTGATTTTGAGGCAGAGAAGTATTGATTAGAGTTTAGAAGATGTCTGCCTCTTTTAAAGCACTGGTGGTGTGTGGTGTGCCGCGCTGCTGGTGTGTTCTGTGTTGGTCCTGGAACAGATATGTGCTGCTGCACCATGTGATGGGTGGTGTGGACGGCGGCGGTCCGGGTGAGTGGGCGTACCCGCACGGCGGTATGGGCGCCGTCACTGGGGCCATGGCACAAGCTGCTGTCAAGGCCGGCGTGGACATATGCCTGAACTCTGTGAGTAGCACTGTGCTAGTGGCGTGTGTGCAAGGGGCTGCTGTGTGAAATAGGCATAACAACGGTACAGTACGCGTGTACCCGATCATGCATGTGGCGTGTGATAAGCAATGGCGTTCATTATCGTGGAATCCTGATTTTTTGAATGTGGGATGTACTTACTGTGTAGTAAGTACCTAGTTACTAGGCTAGGTATTACAAGTATTGTCATTCTGCCACCACTACCACCAGAAGTCGTATCATCCTGGAACATGGCACGCTGACACAGGACTTGATCTAGTAGATTGTATCTGTTAGGACTGGAACCATGAGCATTTGCCAAATCTACTTGAAATGCACGTGCATGCTGGTGATGGCAGTCTGCTGTTATGCGGCCGAGGCCGGAAACTTCTGAGGTCCAATGCATTCCTGTCCTGGGTTGCTCCCGATCATGTAGAAACCACAGTACACCACGACCACCACCGGTCCTTCAGTCAGGGAACACTGCAATCACCGCTGGTCTTTCTGTTCAGTTAGGTAACACCGCAATGCATTATTGTGCTGGAGCGAAGTACCGTCTGGCAGGGCTGTAGCACCAGGGCTCTAGGTGGTCCAGCCAAATGAGATACTTTACCCGACCGGGACGTGAACATTATCGATGAAAAACCGGGCCGTTTTGCACGAAATGTGTCCAGGGCTCTAGGTGGTCCGGCCAAATGGGATACTTTACCGGAAGTGAACATTATTGATGAAAAAACCCGTTTTGCACGAAATGTGTCCAGGGCTCTAGGTGGTCCGGCCAAATGGGATACTTTACCGGAAGTGAACATTATTGATGAAAAACCCCGTTTTGCACGAAATATGTGGATCAACTTTTTCCAAATAAGGTCCGGCCATGGCCGAACCGTGTGCTCCGACCCAATGTGGTGGTCGGCTGACCCAGCTTTGTAGACCATTTTACTGAGCTCAGTGACAAAGAGGGAGAGCCATCATCTAGCCATGGGAGGTGGCCGTGCTAAATAGCAAATGATGCAGGCATACTCTCATCACCTCCAATTTCTCCTCGATCATGAATTCTCTTCACTCTACCTTAGTGCACTCGTATGAACTGCTGGGAGTTGCATGCTGGACAGGTTGGGTAAGCAGCTAGTGCGGAACACCAGCCAGACATGTACTCTCTGCAGAGAGACTGAGAGTTCGACTGAAGAGAGCGATTATTTGAAGAGAGCGATTATTTGAAGAGAGCGATTATTTGAAGAGAGGCAACGCAATATAAAGGGCCTGGGTAGCTATGGCAAACATGGGTGCGCAAGTAGCTACCCAGGCCAACGGAACGAAAGGTGAGAATGACGTAGTACGGGTGCATGCAGGCCAGCTAGGGGAAAAGGGTATACTGTACGGCCCGGGCGGAGGTACCTAACTTACCACCCCTCCATGAAAAAGAGATTATGGGCGAGCCGCTAAAAATCCCGTCACGGTGTTTGGTTCGCCGAGCTATAGCATACATCAGAGGGTCACCGGCATCATGGTCTACAGGGGCCAGAATCGGAGCTGTGTGAACGGCTGCCGTTCCTTGGGCCAAGTTGGAGTTTGGTTGAAGTACATGGCTGTAAAAGTTAATCTGCCGACAGAACTGTTTCGTCTAAATGTCTGTAGTCTAGTAGCACGTACACACTATACACGGCCCATTGGAAAGGTCTTGAGCGAGGCTATTCATTGAGATGTGATTGAATTTGATATTTAGAAAACTGTATTGTACCCAAAGTCTGAAAGAGGATATGGGAATGTTCATAAACCAGACTTTTGAATGCGATTTTTGGTGGCACAGCTATCAGATTTTTCTAACTGATTTTTTTGCTTTCAGCTCGCTATCACTACTTGTAGTTGATCATAGTTCACCGTGTTACATGTACGTGTACTTTCATGTGCCAGGACAGAGGGTTATCCATATTGTCAGGGCCTCGACTTGTTCTACATGTATTCTGATTTTCCGGGAACATTCCGATCAGTTGTTCCGACAAACCGACTGAAAACGATTGTTAACGAAAGTGTACCAATCTGTTGTTTCGGGCCCTCGAAATCCTGAAAGTGCTACCGTTTCTAAAGGGGTTGCTTCCCCCTCGACTCCCTGCCATTGAACACCTCAGACACTGCTTCTCATTTCCACCAACAGAAAAGTGGCAGCCCTCTGCTACTATCCTGTTTGTGAAGCTACCACCGTCCATTGCATGTGCTTCCTCCATTACCTGATTCTATTTCTCCACTTACCAGAAGCAAGAGTATAAGCTCTTGGGAGCTTATTACTCTTGCCCGCAGAACTTGTAATGGTAGTTTTGCCTTCTTGCCCATTCAATACTGTAAGTCCACAAATATTTGGCGCATATTTATTTTCGGCTATTTTCGGCCTGGTCATATTTGGCCAAAATTTTGTTTTGCAAGGTTCAGTGTGACAGCGTATACAGGCGGCAGCAGTACAGGCCGAAAATTTGATGCGGCCAAAATTGGTTTTAGCCCTGGGAGGCCGAAATTTGAATGGGCCGAAAATTCGTCGACTTATAGTATGTGAAGTATTGTACGTTGTTACTAATACTTCAAAGTGCATTAGTCAAATTGAAACTGTTTTCGTGATATGATCTAGCAAGAGTAGTGAGCTCTTGGATCTAGCTACAGTGTAGAGGAAGTATGTTTTGTCCTCCAAAGGGAGCGGTATGTTTGGGTACTTCAAGGCCTCATGGTTGCTCCATCCTACAGAACAGGTCCTACATTTTCCCTCTACTTGGTAAATCATGGTAAATAGCGCACTAAAAATCAAGATATCAACCATCCATGCAGCACATGCACAGGAATAATGTATTATACGGTTCTTCAGGGAAAGGTTGGAGCACCCCCCTCATTCCTGCGTACACCCCTGCTTGTATTTTCTTCTTCTATTTCACAAGTGTTGGCTAAGCCACTTAGTCTGCCTTTCGCTGGCTTTTAAGTGTGCCTGCCTGCTTGGCGTTTGCCTCCACAGTCACTGTTTCCTGGGCGGCGGCCCGGAGTAGGGCAAGCCCCCAATGCTGTTGATCACTGTCACCGTCTCGTAGTGCCACTACTCTAGCATTCAGTATACTAGTAGTACTCGTATGACTTACAGTCAACTTCGCGTATAACGACACTCGGCGGGGCATCAGAAAAGTGTCCTTATTCGCGAAGTGTCGTTACACCCGAAGTCCCATTACAGTATATATTACAGTTGGATGTGACTTTGCTCTGGGCATGGAAATTCTGTCGTTATTCGCGAATTGTCGTTATATCCGCAGTCGTTATTAGCGAAGTTGACTGCATGTCATTATGACTCTATGAGTCTGTCCTCTGCCCATCGTGCATCGATCATACACTACAGCAGTAGCAGTTGACCATGTTGTGATGAGCTCTGCTCACGTGAAGTAGTTGGAGTGATCTAACGACAGATTTCGTAAACGTCACGTGCACGCGATCTGCGCTTTAGTAGTGAGGTTCTGCTCTACGTTTCGGGAACGCGACGCAAAGCACGTATGCAGAACCTCTCTAGCTCTACTATACTTACTACTAGTACTACTCTACTATACTTTCTTTTTACGTGTTTCCGCGGTGGCCATACGTACTGTAACATAGCCTTCGCTTCCGCTAGCGATAGCGATAGCGTGCATGCATAGATCTACAGTCTGTACCGACAGTGTGATCTATATCTATCTGTCGTAGACCTACGAGTACTGAGTCTGTCTGTACTGGCTAGCTTGCATAATATGCAAGCTGCATGCATAATATTATAATTATGCATGCACCGACCGGTCCGTACCGTGTGCGCACGTGTGATGCGTGCACTGCAGCAACCACTGAACCAGTTACGTAGATATCTACCTAGTACCTAGGCTTTGCGCACAACGACACACCATATACTGTACTGTGACACACCACACTGTGACATAGTACATCGTCCTTGTACATCTTACGTAGCTAGACTACACTGACACCGACACGTCTGTACAGTCAGCCCATTACCATGATTACAGCCAATACAATGTCAGTGTCTTGGTAGATCTACCGCGACCGCGCTAGCACTCGCCTACCTATGCCTTGGACCTTGCATTGATCAAGTATGATGAAACGCGCGTATCGACCGTATCAGCAGCACTGATTCGGCACTAGTCTATCACATGCTGCACCATGAGTATGGTGAGTGACAGACCACTGCATGCATGCAGTGTTAGTGAACGGTAACACGAAGGCAAGTGCTCCTAGGCTAGATCCTGTCCCTGCATGCCTAGCGCCTGGCCAGCACATCTACGTCTACGATTTGTCTCAGTCGGAAGGTTCGGTCGGCTCACGGAGCATAGCGGAAGGTAGACAATGTTCGGCGCGAGCAAACCTTGATCGATTTTCGGGGATCGCTGAAGGTTAATCGCTAGCAGCAAAGACAGCGACATAACTGGAGAGGTCCTGCTCTATGCCAGTGGCGCATTGAGCGATCGACATAGCGATGCCACCGCACGACATTGGTCGCAAGTGCATGATCATTTTACTCGATGATTCGAAGATAGACACCTACCTCCACTTTTCGTTGACGGGAGCGGAGCTTGTGGATCTGGTTGCCACCCAGTTTCATCTGAAAGAGAAGGAGTACTTCGGCCTGTGCCTGGATGGCTCAGAGAACGCTCCGCAGTGGCTGGAGTTGGATCGTCCTGTGTTGGAGCAGGATATCCCAGCACAGGGTGTACTATGGCTGCGCTTTCAGGTGAGATACTACGTGGAGAGCGTAGCGTGGCTGAAAGACAGCGTGGCGGTGGAAATGTTCTACCTGCAATGCAAGCAGAACGTCTTCCGCGACCTGACCGTGTGTAGCAGCGAGACGGTATTTCAGCTGGCCGCGTTTGTCATGCAGGCGACATATGGCGATTTCAACATGCACCAGGTGGCCAAAGAGGACCTGAAGCGCCTTCCTGTCATTCCTGCTAGCACTCTGAAGGAGCATCCCGACACAAACTTCTGTGAGTCGGAGATCATTCACATTTATGAGTACCTGCAGTCCAAATCTCGAGGGATAGCCATCCTGAGCTATCTGAACACAGTGATAATGCAGCCAACGTTCGGCCTGCACTGCTATGAAGTACGCGACAAGTCCGACCAGCCATACCTGCTCGGTCTCAGCCCAAAAGGTCTCGGTGTGTACGAGCCGAGCAACCGCAGTGTTCTGTTGGAGCTGTTTGAGTGGAAGAATCTGGAAAACATCTATCACCGCGACAAGAAGTTCTCTATCGAGGTGTACCAGCAGGCAACGAGTCAAACATCACAAGGTCAAGCCAAGCCGGGATCAGCGGGCAATGTTGGACCGTCACAACTTGCGCGAGGTGTTGTGCCGCGCAACCTAGTCGTTCACGTTTGGTTTTCAAGTAATCCGCGACTGCTTCGCTCGCTGTTCAACACGGCCAAGGGCCAGCACCAGCTGTACCTGTCGAAACGTGCCACCAGAGCGGCGTCGCCCAGCCAGTGCCGCAGCCCGTCGCAGCTAGCCCAAGAGCTGAGCCTGTCGACCATGTCCCTGGACTCAGCCAGCAACCTGACGGGCAGCACCAACAGTCTAGTGTCCACGGGCAGCAAGGGCACGGCAACGACGACAGCGGTGTCCGAGGAAAACCAAGCAGCGGCGCAGGCTGCGGCTCGCATTGCGGAGCGAGAGATGTACCTGGCTCTTATTGCACGGCGCGACGCCCTGCGCCAGAAGCTCACACGGCACGAAGAAGAGCTACGCCAACTCGGTCGGGAAGAGGAGAGATTGCGCAACCAGCGGTCTCGTAAGCCCGTGGAGAACAATCCCAGGATAGCATCAGCTTCTTACAAATTCTCCGATAGCGTTGTAAATACTAGTCAAAGTCCCAGTGTAAGAAAAAATCAAATTGAGGAAGCGCGAAAAGACCTCCAGATTCAGCAGACCATTGTCAATGCGGCCACTAAGCTCTATCAAGAGCGAGGCCTGAGTCGAAACGTCAGGAAAGAGCGCAAAGAGAGTATGAAAAAGAACCTGGACAAGCTAAGAGATGCCCAGGCTCGGCTAGACTTTCTTCTAAGTCAGCAGTCAGAAGCATCCCTGTCACTGGACTCTGGTCTCAATGAATCACGGGATCCCAGGGCTAGCTCTCCAGCCGTGCATGGGCTGCCTACGTCCGCCCCATCAACGGTCAACCAATCCCCCACGCCCAGCTCCGAAGATGGCCGACCGCGGGACCATTTCAATTCCCAGGCGGATGAAGACTTTGTGGCATCTTTGATTGCCGGTGACCTGCAGCCACGCAGCGCACCATCGATGGCGAAAGCGAGTCATCCAGCAGCACCCCCAGCTGCTGCTTCCAGTCCTAACAGCTCTGGTGTAGTTGCGGCAGCAGCGGCTGCAGCTCGTTCAACTGCCCAGGCGCGAGGACATCATGCCAGTGCTGCACCACCCGGTCCATCTAACCTAACCCTAAGACAACAGCCATCACCAGTAGGCCCATCGCCCAGTATCGTTCCGCTAGCTCGAGAGCGGCTCAAGTCGCTTGCGCAGAAGCGCCAGTCGTTTCTCATGGAAGATCCGGTGGCTCCGGTCAACGGCTATCCTTCGCGACCCGACTCGTCTTCTTCGGAGGATGAGAGTGGTCGCCCTCGGCGTGGACGGGAGGTCCTGTCCTGGCTTGATGACCAGCAGCTGTTTGGACAAGGAACATTAGTATAGCATGCAGTGCCGTTCCATCTTTCATGATAGGTTTTTCTGTGATCTGTGTATGTGTGTGTGTGTGTTTGTGTGGGTGTGTATGTGTGTGAAGTATACACACAGACAGCCACTTGCTTCTCAGCAAGTTTGCTTGACCATGTAGCATTTTCAGTAGGAGCAGTACAGTACTATATACGGCGATTTCAGCTTGTACGGATTTGACCACCATCTTGAGATGTGCAACACCAGTGCAGTGCCAGTGTTGTATGTGTGTTGGCGTGTATTGTTTCGACTTTAGCTGTCTGACACTGAATAGGCCTAGTCGCTGCTGCGCTGGTGGCTAATCAGTTTGCCACAGCGGCTGAGTGAATGGAATTTCAATGTGAGCCGTGCCAGTTTTATGATTTCAATTTCTTATGCCAGCGCATCCAACGATGGCACGTTGAGTGAGTTTTCTCCTTGTTCGTCCGTGCATGAATTTCTATTTCGTCCGCATCTGCTGTTTGTCAGAGCCAAGTTGAAACCCCTTTGTTTTCTGTATTGCTATGATTGCACCAGCTCCGTAATCTGGCTGGCCGGTAGGCTGGGCATCACTGCTCGTTACTCTTATTCGCGTGTATTTGTCCAATTACTGGTATACACTGAGGCTTCTACTTTATATTAGAATTTGGCTGCTTGATGTTGCTCTTGACAGGCTGATATCAATGTGGCCAGGACACCATAATTATAACAATGTCCACCTTTCCATTAGGCAGATTTCTGCCTTGTCATCCTGACGAATTTGTGGAAGGGCTGTAAATCCCAACTTAGTGTGTGTCTTGACGTGCTGCGTGCGGCTTCGTTCTGGACTTGGCAATGCAATAGTGCAGGTATGCCAGCATTTGTCTGGTTGGGTGTCTCATGTGTGTGTGTGTGTGTGTGTGTGTGTGTGTGTGTGTGTGTGTGTGTGTGTGTGTGTGTGTGTGTGTGTATGTGTGTGTGTGTCAGGTATTGCTGCTGCTACCAGCTGTTGTTCGGAGTAGGATCGGATCAGTTATGTCTAGGTCTGTGTTTACCTCGAGCAGAACACCTCCAAGCAGACAAATTCACTTTCCGATATTGGGCATGGTATGTAGATTTTGCTCTAGATAGCATTGGCGTCCTGCTAGGGACAACAGTACGCTTGACACGTGCTATCATCTGGACATGTGTGTTCTGCTTTTGGTACACTGCAGCCGGTGCGGGAGTTCTTGGTCAAGCAACATGCTGGCACAGATGACCCGCGTGTACACGGTGTTCAACTGGAAGACGGCCAGGCGGTGTTGGCTAGCTCAGTTCTCTCCAATGCCACTGCAGACGTTACATTCAACAAGCTCACTCCGAAGGTATTGCATGGCGTGTACCGCAACTTGTTTTATTTTCATTCCCATGGTGCGTGCATCTAGCACTCTCCGATTCCCAGTGGTAATGACTATGTTTGGACAGTAGGCACTATCCAGAGCTGCATATTTTAAAAGCTAAAATGAATTAGTAAAAGCCTGTAGTGGAAGGTGCAGTGGAACCCACGCTCGACCACCCAGCACTGGTGCAACACTTCGGATTAGGGAACAAGTTATTAACATAATTATACAATGATGCTGCATGTAGGTAAAATGCATGATGGAGAAAAGCAACACTTGAGCACAAGCAAACAAATGAAATCTGATGGATACAACAGACGCACATGGCTGTGCAGTGAATGCAATCTTGTGCGGTTTCAAAAACTCAACCATAATCATGGTGTAACTAGCAGAAGTGTCGACTGCTGCTCTGGCACACCCATTCGCTGCCACCAACGCCTCGCACGTCTGCGTAGATCCTAGGCAGTGAAGCTCTGGTAGCCTCGGCCACAGTAAGTACACGAATACGCACCACTTCCTGAGGAACTTCTGTTCTTGCCAGTCTGCTGCCATTGGTGCTCCGGAAGACTTCTGTTCTTGCCAGGCTTTCCGTTCTGGACAATCACTTTTCATGTGATCTGGCTTGTCACAGAAGTAGCACGTTCGAGGGCCAGTATGCTCGCCACGAGTTCCTCTACCTGCACCGCTCTTCCGACCAGACTTCTTTGCTTTATTGCACTCCCATGATATGTGGCTAACTCCGCCACGGTTGAAGCACGCCTGTTCTTCCTTGGCGACCGCTGCCACAACAACATCGTCACGCACTCAAATCATGTGGCCCGAAGTCGCAGCCTTCAAAGCCTGTACCACATCCAGGCCACCCGTCACATTTACCTCTTTCCCCGCCATCGCGAGTCTCAGCTCTCTGGCAAAGTCTACTGGCAATCCCGCGATCAGCTGCTCTATGAGCATGGGGTCTTTGTCGCCGTCTGCTTTTTGCCCTGCCAAAGTACTCGGCCACTGCAGGTTGGCAACGTAGGCATCGGGAGATTCGTCCACACGCATCGTCCGTGCCTTGAATATGACGTACGCCTGCGCCTTATTCAGTGTTAACGACTGCTGCCTTCTCTTGCCAGCACTTTGTCTTTGTCCTTCTGTTCATCTGCTGGCATCCGCGAAAAGAAGCGGAATACATCCTCTGTCAGGAACAAAGGGAAATCCTTCATCTTCTTCTTGATGGAGTCCCAACCTTGTATGTTGATGAGGATCAGGAACTTGTCCCTGAATGGTCCAAAGTTGTCACTCCGTTTCAATGGAACGGCTGGGCAAAGTTGGTAAATCTAAGCGACATCTCGCTGGCGTGGCAGGGTTCGCACTTGTCAATAAAACACACACACACATCCCGGCTTTCGGCACCAGTTGTTCGACCACCCAGCACTAGTGCGACATTTGGATTAGGGAACCGGTTATGTCATGATTTTCCATTCCATTTTTCTTCATCATGCGAGCGCTACCTCTTGATATGGATGATGAGTGCACATCATGTAATAGCACACAGCATTGTATGAGTCATTGCATCTTATAATCATTACTTACCTCTGAAAACCATGCTCGTGGTGGGTTCCAGAGGCCAGCGTATAAACCATAAAATACACTCATGCCTCGGTTATCCGGACCCCGCAGCTACGGGCACTACGGTCTACCGGGCGCCCTTTGGGCGAGTTTCAGTTGACATAATATTTATTACTACTCTCTTGTCACTTTTTGTGGACATAGTGACGTCGCATGCCATATCTATGTTTTTCCCCCATCAACGTGTATGTGATCCGTAGTTTCGCACAGTGCCCGGTCTCGGACTGCCCGGATAAACGAGGTGTGAGTGTACATGGAATGGAAGTAACTTGATCAGTTACTTACTGGTGTGGGTGAAAATAGCAGCCAAAATGGCGGTAAAAATCACACGAATTTGAGTCCAATGATTCCCCCCCCCCCCTTCACTTTTGTTCTGACTATAACCCTGGCATGTTTTTGTCTAAGCTCTGGCTTGCCCTGACCGGTAAATTGTGTTTCTATTGGGCCCGGTAAGAGATCCCTTTGTCTTTGTTGTTCGTAAATGGATGCCCTGTGCATGCCTGATGTGGCTGCTTGCTTGAGAGAGAGTATTGTTCTGCTTTGTTTGTTTCCTCGGTCACCACACTAGGGTGTGCTTCCGGACGACTTCCTTGCTGATGTGAACGGAGTGGATTACACGTCTCCTGTCACCAAGATAAGTGGTAAGCATACCCGCAAAACTGCTTAGTATGCTAAACTCGTACCTCGGTTATCCGTGCACCGAAGTTATGGGCACTTCGGTCTACCGGGCACCCTTTTGGGCGAGTTTCAATGGAAATATTACTACTCTTTTTGTCACTTTTGTGGGGATAGTGACGCCATGTGCCCTATCTATGGCCTTTCCCCATCAACATGTATGTGGTTCGAAGTTCCGGACATTTCGAAGCTACGGACAGTGCCTCGTCCCGGACCGCCCGGATAAACGAGGTATGAGTGAAGTGTGCCGGTTGACAATATGGCATGCGGCTTTGCTGCACGTTCAGTGCTGTTGCTATGTTCTGATAACATGACTTGTGTTCCTACTGGCTGGCTAGGTTGCACTTAGGTGTTGAGAGTTGCACTGAAGAATAATGCCGTTGTTCATCGAGTGCTCAATGAATATGACACGCTGGACGGGTGCTCAAGCAGATGGCTCTCAATTTTATGGCGATTTTTGTGCGATGTTGTTCATGCTTTATATAGTGGCTCTATCTTCCATCCCGGATTTCCTGTCGGCACCGAACACGGCCCCAGGCGTGCCGGGACCGCACCACCGTGCTACGATTCATATAAACTGCGAGAGCATGCGCCAAGTGCATTCCGCGTACAGCGATGCCGCCTTCCGTGGCGTCCCGTCTGAAACGTAAGTGACTTGAGGTGTTTTTTTGTCGAAATCCACCGCCGTTGTGCTCTGTTCAACGGCCGAATGCTGCTGTTTACCCACTTCTATACAGTCTGTTCTACGAGAGAGCTTGGAAGCTCAGGGCCCTGCGCTATGCTTTGTTGCCTAGCTCGTCGCACATGTTGTTAGAACTGATGGAAATGCTTTTTCCTTTTATTAGCTACATCATTGTATTGCAAAAACGTTTCAATGAGTTACTGAAGTAACGTCTGCTGCAAAGGTATGGGACCGGCGCTGACTCTGCCGATCACGGGCGTTCTGGAGTCGACGGGATGTCGGTCCTGACGTTTCCTGGCCCGGGCGCTGACTCTGCCGATCACGGGCGTTCTTCTTCTTCTTATTATCATACTGACGGCAACTAACATCCATTCTGATTGCATTTACTCGTCTCCCTACTTCGTATTTCTTTCCAGAAAATCTCCCCATACAGCAGGGAGTCGTTTACATAATATGACTCCCTGCTATACATCTACACGACTGTATATACGTTATAATTATTATGCTATCGGCCTACATGCCATTCCCGGGCTGGTCGACAGGCGGTCCACCCAGCCTGCTAGTGGGATCTCGGCCTCGCACACAAATCCACACAAAATGTTACTGCACTGAATGCATTCCCCCGATACACTTCGCATATATACTCATTCTCTTGAATACATCTACACGACTGTATATACGTTATAGTTATTATGCTATCGGCCTACATGCCATTCCCGGGCTGGTCGACAGGCGGCCCAGCCAGCCTGCTAGTGGGATCTCGGCCTCGCACACAAATCCACACAAAATGTTACTGCACTGAATGCATTCCCCCGATACACTTCGCATATATACTCATTCTCTTGATGGTACCGTACTCTTGATGGTACGGGACAGGTACGGGATAGCGCCAGGCATGCATGTCGATGGCACAAACAAATAAAAGTATTGTGGCCAGCTGTCTTTGCTGGTACGGTACGGTACGGGACAGATACGGGATAGCGCCAGGCGTGACACAAACACACAAACAAACAAACAAACAAACACCAAACGAGAGAGCTTGGAAGCTCAGGGCCCTGCGCTATGCTTTGTTGCCTAGCTTATCGTGCATGTTGTTAGAACTGATGGAAATGCTTTTTCCTTTGATTAGCTACATCATTGTATTGCAAAAACGTTTCAATGAGATACTGAAGTAACGTCTTCTGCATAGTTACGGGACCGGCGCTGACTCTGCCGATCACGGGCGTTCTAGAGTCGACGGGATGTCTGTCCTGACGTTTCCTGGGACTGGCGCTGACTCTGCCGATCACGGACGTTCTTCTTCTTCTTATTATTATACTGACGGCAACTAACATCCATTCTGATTGCATTTACTCGTCTCCCTACTTCGTATTTCTTTCCAGAAAATCTCCCCATACAGCAGGGAGTCGTTTACATAATATGACTCCCTGCTATACATCTACATGACTGTATATACGTTATAATAATTATGCTATCGGCCTACATGCGATTCCCGGGCTGGTCGACAGGCGGCCCAGCCAGCCTGCTAGTGGGATCTCGGCCTCGCACACATATCCACACAAAATGTTACTGCACTGAATGCATTCCCCCGATACACTTCGCATATATACTCATTCTCTTGTTGGTACCGTACCCTTGATGGTACGGGACAGGTACGGGATAGCGCCAGGCATTTCGATGGCACACACAAACAAAAATATTGGGGCCAGCTGTCTTTGCTAGTACGGTACAGTACGGGACAGATACGGGATAGCGCCAGGCGTGACACAAACAAACAAACAAACAAACAAACAAACAAATAAACAAACAAACAAACAAACACCAAATTAAAGCTGTGTGGACCCTGGCTAGCGCCAGACGTTACTGAAGTAACGTCTTCTGCATAGCTACGGGAATTAAAGCTGTGTGGACCCTGGCTAGCGCCAGACGTTACTGAAGTAACGTCTTATGCATAGCTACGGGAATAAAAATAAATTGCTGTTGGTGCTTCCGCTGCTGCTAAACATGTATGCTGGTATGTGCCATTACCTCCTCTGTTTGCACTTCTCCACAGTGTTCTTCTACTGTCTTTCCTCTCATTGTGTTTAGGCCGCTGATAGAAATGTGCATCCCGTCCACCCTGGACGACAGTCTCACACCGGAGGGATGTCACGTCATGTCTCTGTTCACGCAGTTCACGCCCTACACTAGAAGTGATGGTGTCGAGTGGACGCAGGAGGCCCGAGAGGAGTATGCGGAGCGAGGTAATCGCCGTGCTCTATGATGCCAGTATTGGCCGTTGAATTTCTTTCAATCTTTGGCTGAGCCGCTCGTATCTTGATGTGCTTGTTACCTCCACATTGATGTTCTGGAACCAATACACAAATATGTGCGTTGCTGTTTTTTTGTTCTTTGTTGCTTGACCTACTGTTCAGTGTTCCAGTGTATTGAAGAGTATGCACCTGGCTTCCGCTCACTCGTTGTCGGATACGAGTGCCTTCCACCTCCCGAACTAGAGCGTGTCTTTGGACTAACCGGCGGAGTAAGTCTTTACATGACGATTTTGCCGGCATATTTTCTACAACAATGCTCGATAAACTACTACGTAGTATTTTTATAAGAAACTCAGCGCTTTGATTGAGTACAAACATTTTGATGACACTGATAAGTGATAACAAGAGTAGATAAACAAGAGTGTGCAACTCGCGGATGGGTTGGCCCACGGCGGAATTTTTTGTTGACGTAATCTTTTCGACGACGCACGCGCTGCGAGTCCTTTGGAAAGTTTTCGCTCGTGCACTTGGCCGGGGTTTACACTACAAGGTCGGTGCCCAGCACGTGCTCTCACACTGCTCTGCGGCAAAATGCGCGTTTCTCTGAGAAAAGGTGACGTCAACAAAAAATTCCGCCGCGGGCGGGGGTATCTGCAGATTGTGCAGGAGAGATTCGGAGTTGCACACTCTTGTTTATCTACTCTTGGTGATAAATAAGTGATAATCCCTTCCCATGTTGTTGTTGTTTTCCTTGTAGAATATTTTCCATGGATCAATGTCACTGGATCAACTGTACTGGACTCGCCCTAGTCGACTCTATCCGGACTACAGGTCGCCAATCCGGGGACTCTATCTATGTGGGAGCAGTGCACATCCAGGTAGGGTGGCGGATGGGTACTGAGACCTAGTCTAACTGCATACTGTACGCGACATTCGTACACATACCGTTTGAAGTTGCGAAAATGTGTCAGGAGCACTGCTGTTGGTGGCGTGGTCGGTGCTATAGTCATGTGCACTGGTACATCTTGTCTACCTTGTATCATGACAGATCATGAATACTATAGTACATAATATTATGATGTACTTGTTGCAACACTGCTGCGCTGGTACTGCCTATTATGTTAGACGTAGCATTTGTATACTGTTAGGGTTCGTCCGTATTTTTCGAAAAATTAAAAAGATCTGTCCTCAGGCAAAAAGGGGGTGGGTGGTCAAGAGTGCTGGTGGAATTTAATTTTTTGATTTTTCGTACCTTTTTCTTCTTCTTTTTTTTTGGCACCAGTGACTTTCATTCACTTGTTGCACTGATATTAAGGACGTTTAGCAACGCGAAAGTTCGAAAGAAAATTCGAGTCTGGGAATGAGTACAGAAACAAAGGTCGAAACTTCGAAAACTTGGACGCGAAGTTGCAGTGATTTGCGAAAGTAACTTTCTCTTTTCTCAGTACGCATTTCACTACAGGGAGTAGTAATTTTACAGCCCCCTGCTTGAGACTGAGCTGCATATACGGTACGGTACTATAAAATTCAAATAGCTTCGAGAAAAAGTCGTTTCGCATTGCTAAACCTCACAAGTTTTCTTTTTCGAAATAGATTTTCGCGAAATATCGCCACCAAAAGTTCGAATTTTCGCATTGCTAAACGTCCCTATTATAGCTGACTGTGTACTGTACTGTAGACGTAAGTGTGGGATCGATTGTCGCAAACACCAGTATCTACTATGATATACATGTACATGTACAATGACTTTTCATGTCGTTGTAGGACGGTGCATGGCCGTGACGTCGGTAGGCCTACTCACTGTACTTAGCTACTAGTACTTGACACAGGTGCAGTCAGAAAACATGGGGTCAGGAGTTCTTATTTTCGAGCTGGGCATCGGTAAAAATCAAAAAATGGGGGGGGGGGTGGGTGGGTCAGAGACAATTTTGCACGAGGACGGATTTTATAATTTTTCGAAAATTACGGACGACCCCTAAACCGCCCAATGTTTGCGTCACTATTTAAAAAGGTTTTGCAATTTCTCAGAACCAGCGAGTTGACGATGGCAAATGTTCGCGGAGCACTGTGGCCACACATATGCACTCACGGTTGAAGTTTGATTTTACGATGGTAAATTTTTTCGTTCTGCTCTTCTCGCAAAATTAGCAAACATTAATATGTCGCAAACATTAGGCAGTTTACAGTATGTATAAAAGAATTCATTGGATTGAGGAAAAGGTGCGATTGGGAAAAGTCTGAAGAAAAAGTGGACTGTCACCAACAGGACTCGAACCAGGGACCCTCGCTTATGACCAGAAGAACGGGATTTTTTTGTATAGAAAACATCCTATGTCGGATACCGCCAACCATGCATCGACTAGGCGCCAGGCGCGAACTGATGGTGGTGGTGGTGGTGAGAAGGAGAGCTCTGTGCTAGAACTTTGCAGCTTAGAGAGCGTGTGTGGGCAGGCGTGTGTTTACTGCCATATTGCCAGGTGTGTCTTTACCACCATATTTATCAACCATAAGTACAGCTGCAGTGGTGTCTTCAACTTCATTCTCCCGAGCCAAGCTCCGTATGAAAACATCCAAGAAGAAGATTGCCTGATGAGTCCAGCGGGGACGAAACGTACGTCGCGATCGAGCTATGTCGTTGCTGTGTCATCTTCTATGTGCCATGCACTACTTGATGTACCAGCCTGCTATGTCGGATACCGCCAACCATGCATCGACTAGGCGCCAGGCGCGAACTGATGGTGGTGGTGGTGAGAAGGAGAGCTCTGTGCTAGAACTTTGCAGCTTAGAGAGCGTGTGTGGGCAGGCGTGTGTTTACCGCCATATTGCCAGGTGTGTCTTTACCACCATATTTATCAACCATAAGTACAGCTGCAGTGGTGTCTTCAACTTCATTCTCCATAGAAAACATCCTACTAAGAAGTCCTTGCTCTTTCTGTTTGCTGCTCATTTTTTCCACAGGTGGTGGAGTGATGGGTGCTCCGGGATATAATGCAGCCAAAGTTGTCTTGTCCAGCCAACTGTGAAAGCACCGTTTGCGTGTGGTGCCGCACTCCAGCCGATCCGTGTTGCAATTTACCGGCCCGAGTTGTCCACCGGCGCACGCTCCAGTGCATATGTTGGGGTACGCGCCTGACAGCGATCATTCGTACAAGCCGGATACCTACCCCCACATCTTACCCCCATGGCATTGTGTACCCATCGTACCACATGCTTCTCCTTCCCCATCACTTACGTGTACTTGTACTGCACATGTAATTCAGTTATCAAGTACTTTTTTAGTCTCGGAACCTCTAGATTTAGGAGAGGTGTTCATTTATTTTCCAAGCAAAATACAAAACAAAAACAATTGATGTATTTAGAAAAAATATGGCGCTGAGCTGGTGTAGGATGGGTGACTACACTGATGAATGAATCTTCGACACGCCGGGTAAGACAGCTACAAGTACTTTCAGTAAAATCATGTAATGCAGTGTAATGAGACCAGGAGTCTGGCAAACCATTCGACCTCACTCACTTCAAGTCCTGGATATGTATACCCGGTACATTGTATATAACGGTTGAGATTCCCTGCGGATTTACAGCTTACATGTACAGTACACAGACCTGAATAACTTGAAAGCCGCGGCAAACCCGAGTTAAAAAAATCATTGGATCTTGCGTAAATCCGAGGTCGAGACCTTTAGTTCATCTACAAACCATCTGATGAAGACCCACGCAAAAACGCGACCACAACTCTGAGGAGGCTTTGTTGACAAGCCCGAAATACAGGGAATTAATGCTTGTCTTATAATTAGGGGGTGTGCACGGGTAGTCGGGTACCCGTGAGGACCTCGGGTTGACGGGTACAGAATAGTACCCGAAAACCCGAAGTCGCAGATGACATCATGTACAGTGCACGTGTACACATTCACGTAATACTCCCCATGTCTACCTAGTGTGTAAGGGAAGGGGTGCATTGTGGTCTTAACATGAGAACATTACCCGATCGGGTACCCGTGGAAAACTACCCGAACCCGATACCCGAAGAAAATGCCACCTGACTCAGCACTACCTATAACGAGTATCATCTACAATGCGGAGGTGAATGTACGCTTTTCAGGCGTCAGGGATTTTGGGGGAAGTGAAAGGGGATTTATACTGGTATACTGTAAAACGGGACCAAAATTTTAACGTTTTCGTAATTGTGGCATGATAATGTGCAGAAAGTTTACGATGGTTACCTGGCCACCCATTTGTATGCGCATCTTTACATAGGCATCTCAAACCGGGTTCACGATAACGTTTCTTCGAATAACGAATAAAATTGGTTGTTAAAACGTTAGACTTTGTGACTCGTTAGACTTTCCGGTTTTACAGTCATCAAGAGTATATAACCCCCCAAGAGTGTGCAACTCCTGATACCCTTTCTATGGGGTACGCCGACGGCGAAAACTCACATCACGTGGTACAGTGTCGCAGTTGTACGTTTCCAGCCTGTTTTTAGCGAGCAGCGGAGTGTGTCCCCGGGGAAAATTGCAATTCCGCGGCCGCGTTTTTTTCCGCGTTTTTTGCGATTTTTAAAAGACCGCGTTTTCCCGCGTTTTTTGAACTTTTTTGTTGCACTACACGTACACACAGTGCACTGTTCGGTCAGCAACGTCTCATCGTGGCGGCTTTTTACTCAAATATGACGAGTGCTTACACCAGAGACTTGTAACGGATTGATTTCACTACATACTCACTGAAAATTGCTGCACATCAATATTATTCACCGCATATTCACCACAAATTATGCCATATTATGCCGCGTTTTCCCCGCGTTTTTTGCGATTTTTTTCCGCAATTTTCCCCGGGGACAGCGGAGTACTAAAAAAAAGCACTCTCTGACAGAAACTCACTGCGCGTATGCAAATCCCCAGCGTGATCACGGCAGGTTTTCGGATTGCGCGCACGCTATCCTACGTTTGTAATTAGTACAAAGGTATCTGAGACATGTGATGTGAGTTTTCACCGTGGGAGACCCCGTATGCGCAGAGTTGCACACTCTTGGAGGGGGGGGGGTTATACTCTTGCTCGTACCTGTGGTCGATTTGCAGATGTGCAGCTAGCTGAAGAGCTAAAAAAACCCTGACATGATACCTCCTATTAAATATAGGTGGTATCATGTCAGGGTTTTTTTTAGCTCTTCAGCTAGCTGCACATCTGCAAATCGACCACAGGTTATAGGAGGTATCATGTCAGGGTTTTTTTAGCTCTTCAGCTAGCTGCACATCTGCAAATCGACCACAGGTACGAGCAAGAGTCGAGTACATAACCCCCTGCGGCTGGGGGCTTTAATAATAATTTTACTCTTGGACCAATAATTACATACATACTGGTATGGCCATGTTTTCAGGGAGTACTGAGCAAAATAAATACAGGATTGGCGGATTGACTACCTACTTGTAGTCCCGTTCTCAAGTAGTATGCTTGAGGCCTGGTTTGTATAAAAATACAATGGTAGATCGATGTACATGTAGGACTTCCGGAATTCCAGTGTCGGACAACCGAAATGAAATAACTATGATTATAAAATCCACAACAGACAAAGAACTTGCAACTTGTTGCGCATGCGACACAAATGAAGAAGAAAGACACAGAAGCTGCGTGTACGTGCACACAAGCTGACATTTGACAACAGGGAGTCGTCAATTTCTCTCACTCAAATACTCCAGGCCTGCAGGCTAGCTATTATTAATAAATTATTATGATAGCTGCTTGCGCTTGACAGTTACATTTTTTTACAAAATGAACAAATACAATGTGGTTTATTGTAAACATCACGAACAATCAACATGAACACGATCACGGGCAGATAAACGTTTTACAACCAACAAACATACACATAACGACAACAAACAGTTCTTTCTTTGGATTGATTAAAAAAAGGAGCACGCAAAGAGTAAGCCCCATCGAGATAACTCCTTCACAAGAGCTATTCGCCATTGTGCTTTGATACAACTAGGCACCGGTGTGATTATAAAACTCGGCTAAAGCTTCTTCGCATTACAAATGCACACCAGTACTAGCCTTAACGGCCGACACTCTCTGCCACGTGTCCGGGGACTTTTCCCGAGGCAAGAAGAAAGCTGAAACATCAAGCGAAGAGGCAAAAGAGCAACTCCGCAAGATGAGACCCTTTCCGTATGTAGCCTCGCTGGCGAATCTTTCACGTACTGAATGAAAGCGGAGCGAGCATCCCATTTTTATACTCCAAGCTTTGCGCATGCGCATTGTGGTTATTCTGCGCCGGATGAAGCAGGCGCCGCACCTGGCGCATGCGTATTGGCAAAAAAATCAGTTTTCAAAAAGGCATTTTTGAGCGTGTTGCGTTTTCTGCTCTGTCGACATGACGACATCATGATTACGTACGTAATGACTGTGTTGTGTGTGTGTTCTTTCTTTTTTTACTTCTTTGAGTACCAACTACAATACTTGATCCTCTTGGTTATTCACCAGTACTGCCAAAGTGTCTTACGTTATATCACCCTGCTCAAGTAGTAACGTGGCGTGCCTGTTCTGCTATTGTAGAAGGTGGGTGGGTGCAGTCGGACAAGCACGATCTCGTACAAAATTTGCACTCTCATTTTTCAAGAAACCAGAGACAAAGTAACTTCTTTTTTCTTCACAGAGACTGGGAGTCGTGAAAGCTTTTACCACTGACTCCCTGACTATGCATTTATGGACTCTTGATCGTAGGTTACGTTCTTTTAAACCATACGCTTGTACACGCATCCTGTTATAATACTGTATGAGTCCATAACAATGGACTTTTGGCAAGTCTTGCTGCATTGGTGTGCTCTCATCACATGTCATGAGTCCGAGAGACTGCAGTACTGTACAGAATGCATTAATGCCTAATAATGGTACAGTACTACCAAGACTGGCAAGAGTATAAAAGGTTTACTAGTATACCACTACCAGTGCGAATAAAGAAACTCTTTGTGTATCCCCACAACAATAACAAGACCCAACAGTTGAAATCGTTTCCTAACGAACATTGCTGCCGCTATTGATGAATACAGTACTTCTTTCCACGCAGCACTACCAGACTATGGCCTTTGTTCGAGACAAGCGAGTGAAGTCCTACTCCATGCAGTGACTATGTTATACCTGCAGTGCGCAACTTGCAGTTATAGGACTGGCAAGCTGAGTATGCGCCAGGACGTGATGGGAACAAGTGGGCGAACAGCGAGTAAATACACAGGAGTATCCAGCAATTCTGATGTTGTTTACCTAAAGTGAAAAGAAAAGATAGCATGCGACTAGAGAAAATCAATGATCATTCAAACGGAAATAACTATCAAGGTGATATAAAGAAACTCTTAGAAAAAGGTTTGAGTTCAGCTTGAAGATATAGACTGAGATATTGCATTATGGGAAAACGGCTTTGAATATATTTGTGGAAGTTCATAAACATAGTGTACTCAACAGCTTGCAAGTATGCACCCATGACAGATTTCAGACAACGCAGCAGAGCCAAACTTGTTTAGTGTAGCGTTGAACCGAGTTTTACAACACCGTTTCCACATGCCGTGAAACTCAGTACGGATCATCGGTTGCCATGTCCGGCGTATCTCTGCTGTGTGTTAGTCCGTCTTTTCCGCTGCTTGAGTCGACGGCACCGTACGATAGGGGCTGACATGCAGTGCTGCTCCGTTCTATCCTGGTCGACGACACGGGCTGCGATGGATGCTGATCAGTAGGTTCAACTTGAAGCCCAGACGGGAGGCTACGACTCGGAAGGGGAGCAGTGTCTTTGTGTTTGTGGCGGCGGCGATGCCTGAAACACCAGCAGCAGGCCATCACGAGGAGGCTTTGAACGGAGTCGGTCTTCCAGCAGAAGATGATGAAGTTGACGAAGCCTTGTCCAGTGTCACCCACAGCCTGTACAGAGGAGACACAGGCCAGAAGAACTCGATGCACACATGAGGACTGTGGACTGTGGATGCAGTCACACCGACACAGTGCTAATAATACTACTAGATACTGTCGGGCGCCGAAGAATGGAGCGCTGAAGAACCAGGCTAGAATTTTACCAAGCACAGCATACCAATGTATACACGGCGACTCAACTGTGCATAGACTGTAATACAGTAAGTATCGTTTATAAAGTGACCGGATATAATGATATACCGGTTATAGTGATAGAACACGTCAAAATCAAAATCAAATCAGAAAAAATACAGCTAAAATATCACTATATACACTATTATCGGCTATACCGATATATCGCTTATTGTGATGGACTTCAGGAAGCAAACCATATCAAATGTACAGGAAAATATCGCATATAATGATCAAGAGTGATGATCACAAAACAATTGTTTTTTCAATAAAGTTCACTTCTTCCAAAACTGATCCAGTGTTGCCTGGTTGCATCTGGCAGCAGACGTGGCTGAGAGAAAATTCTCAATTTTAGAAAGGTGTCCCTGTATGCTGTGGTCACGAATGTCACTCGACGTACTCATGATCTCTTTTTGCACCAACCCATTATTTTACCTGCTCACACATGTCCGTTTCTGGCCCCTTGCAATGTGCTCCCTTTGTATGCTCTTGTCCGTTTCTGTATGCACATGTCCTTTTCTGGCTGCGCTACCCCTCGCTCCCTTTGTATGGTCTTGTCCTTTTCTGTATCTTTCTGCATGCTCTTGTCTGTTTCTGGCTGTGTTGCCTCTCACACAGTCCGCGGAGCATGCATGCACTTTCAGCATGCTTTTTCCAGCGTGTACGCATCATTTCATGTGCAGTCATGTGCCATGTGTCGGTCAAACATGCAAATCGGCTATAGTGATGCACCGGATATAGTGATACATTTTCGAAAATCAAAGGGGCACGTTATATCCGATATTTACTGTACATAAAATATGAGAACGGTCTAGGCTAGGCCGGCTGACCCCCCAGTTCTTTGGCGACCGGCGGTACTGTACTCCTCATTAATCATAGCACTCTGTAGGGCAGTCGCCTGGATCTGCTTCACCGTCACCAAAAGCAGCACACCAGCACTTCTACATGAGACAGCAATTGGGGTACTAATGCGTGGGAGCGAAACCCAGTGACGTACGTGTCTGTACTCAGTGAAAATTCGATCTTTGGAACTGGGTTAGACTTCCAAAAGACGGAGCTCGGACATGCATACCCGGCAGACTGCAGAAGGAACATTCGCCATGGAATATGTTTGCGTACAGGGAGGGGTCACGCCACAGGGGCATTACATGTACCTACAAAGCCATCATCATGGCGCCAATGCCAGCAACATTCTACCTCCATGTAAAATAAATAAAATAATAATAATGTGTTCTCTGGATGGCAGTCGTGAGTCAGTCAAGTGTCAAGTCGTCAGCGGAATAGCGCGAGCTCCGGTGTGGGAGCAAACCCATTCCTAACCAAAATCATCGCCGAAGTCGCAACCTCTATTTAATAATAATGTCGCCACCATTACCCACCATCAATACAATGGCAAGGCAGGCTGTTGCAGAAGAAGCCCACAGCGAATGCACTCCGTAGACTTTAAAAGCTATCAATTGCCAAGCCATGACAGCTGGCAGGACAGTCCTGGGACAACTTACCTGCAAGTAGAGGAGTGGGTAGTACGGGTTAGGCACATCATTATGCAGTCGGATGTGCACAGTGTCGATGATAAACCTTGTTGTGCCCCATACGCGCAGCAGCAGGAACGCAACCGGTATCACCAGCATTTTGCGATCGGCCGACTGCGCTATGCTCCTGGATGTGGTTGTCAGAAACTGCCTGCCATTTGTGCGTGTCTACAGTGTACCATAGAACAAGAAGAACTATGAGCAACAGAACCACTACATGCTACGCCCATTGAAATACAATCATCTACCGCAAAGTACACATGTATACTATAACAGTCAGAGCCGGTCGGGGCAGATCCAAAAAGGTGCTCAATGCACCAAAGTGCTGAGGTAGACACAGCTACAACATGCTGTCTGAGGATCGCCCAGCATGTGAAAGTTTAAAAGTTAGGCGAGACCAAAAAAATAGAGATTCCCGGGCCCTCCCGCACCAAAATCGAGCCAAAGCCAATTTTTTTGGAACAGTTCATATACAAGTACAGTAAGTATACTGATCGTGTGAGTAGATGTGAATCCGGGCGTGTACGACTCCCTGATGTACAGATCATGTATCAGGGCCATCGTTGGCCGAAATACAGAAAAATAGAACGGGTAAACCGCGTACCTGTTTTCTGTAAAAAAATTGAATTAAAATTACTGGAAAATACTGTAAAAAAACAGTTCTGCATGGCATGCATACATAAATAGGAAAAAATAAAAACTTCGCCCGCTCGCATCAATTTCACATGGGTCCTGCCCGGGAATCTCGATTTTATTTTGGTCTCGCCTTACAGCACAAACAGCTGCCTCTTCTTCTGCCTTTGAAGATCAGTGGGTTCGAACCCATGACCTTGCAGTTCTGCTGTTAGGCACCGGAACTATAAACCATTCGGTCCGAGGGGTTCATCCCCAGCACCATCATTACATAATAAAAATTCGCTCGTCCCCTACTATTACTTTTGGTGCAATGCACCAGAACAACCATCCGGCTAGGGGAAATCCCCATCACAATCGATACAAATAAGCCTTATGCACGTTGTACAGATGCACGAAATCCCGTTAGAATCTCGTGGAATCCCGTAGACCCGGTTGAGTGTTGAATGTGCAGGACCTCATTGTGTTTACTCCTATTTCCACCAAGAAATGGGCCCTGAAGGCATTTCATACAAAAACCTTTTCAGACAAATATCTAGCTAGTCATTAGTTCTATTAAACCAAAGTGAAGAAGCTGGAAAAGCGATTGTTTGCCATTAATTATGAGGCTAAAAGTGGTCAAACGCACATGCATAGCACACAACGAACACCCAACCGGGTCTGTACACACCTACGACCCTAGTACTGAACTTCGTACAGCTGTACAACGTGCATACGGTCTATACAATCATCTTGTGGGGCCACCGGCTCTTCTTGTGGCGGGGGCTGGGGTGGACCCACCTACACCCGCACTGGCATCGCCAACTCTCACATGAATTGCCACGGCGCCCACATTAATCCAGAGACCTCGGAGGGCAACAGCAAATTACTCCACAGAGATTTATGCCAGAAACGGCCAAGGACCGCGCGTTGTGGACAGTACCAACAAGAGGAGGGTCGAGCAGTATCATGAGTCAGTGAGTGAAGTGGATCTGGAGGAACAACTCTGGTCACGGGACGAGCAGCTAGCAAATGGGAGACAGGTGGTCTGTACAGAAACGGAGGATGAGACGGATGATCAGAGGATGGAAGAGGAATTGGATGACGAAACGGTTGGTGAAGAGACAGAGGACGAGGCAGATGATGGTAGTGATGATGATCGTGAGAATGACGAGCGGAACGAGGAAGAGGACGATGAGATGGACGAGGAGGAGTCGGGTGGGAAGGAGCGAGATGAGGCGGATGAATGTGTTGATCGTAAGAAGTCGGCTGTGTATCTACACTTGTTATCTCGTCCTGACTGTCTTGGTGTGTATGATGACTCTCATTTTTCTGTACTGTGTCGTACGCGTTATGTCCAACAGTTGAAAGTCCTTGAGGCAGTTTGTAGACGTATTCATAAGCCTGTTTTGTGTTTTGAAAGAGCACGTTGTTGCACTGAAGTTGTATTCGTAGGTTGACACTTCGTTCAGTGCCTTCTCGCCTTTTGTTACCCATTTTGCGTTTCCTCTAGTGGTTTTATTGCACTTGTATTTGATGTTATTTCTAACACCTTTCTACTTTACAGTACTTAACTTCAAAAAAGTTTCTTGGGTTGTAACCTTTAGTTCCGTATTTTTTCCCACTGATGATAGGAACAAGAAAATCGATTCTGGGTTTCAATAATATTTTTGTTATAAAATTCACAGTATTACATGTCGAACAAGTAACGTAGTTGCGTGATGTCTGCGGCCTTCATCCTATTCATAGCTATATTAATACTATATTGCACATATTATATAAACCGATACTAGTTCAAAACTACTTCAAAGTAGTATTAGATAAACCTTGTTATAGTTCACACATATTGTTAGATTGGCAGCATGAAACAAGGTGGAGGACACTGTGTTCGGAAACAGTGACCGTACTACAACCTTCCGCGGTTGGAAGAGCCCGGTCAAGAAGATTTAAGAAAAGCACTTCAGGTTAAAGTAGCAACATGACTACCAGGACGACATCCAGGAGCGATCAAAGAATACACGACGGACGTAAGGAGAAGTCTAAAACTCCCCTAGCATAATGAGGGTCAGCCTCGGAACCGGGTTCAACACCCATATGGTTCAAATGGTCCGCAGGGACCGGGGCTCTGCCAACCGCGGAAGGTTGTAGTAAGGTCACTGTTTCCGAATACAGTGTCCTCCACCTTGTTTCATGCTGTCAATCTAACAATATAATATACATGTAGCCTCCCATCACCTAGTGTGTGTGTGTGTGTGTGCGCGTGTGTGTGTGTGTGTGCGTGTGCTATCCCAGCACAAGTTGCTATGGCTTCTGCTGTAGCATCGCTATCATCGCCTCTGGCGATGGGCATCAAATGGTCAAATGGTGTGTGTGTGTGTGTGTGTGTGTGTGTGTGTGTGCACGCATGCCAGCATCCATACTTACTTGCCGCCGTAAGTGTCGTCGTATAAGGAAATACAAAATGAATATAAGGATGCAGCTTGTGATCTCCCAGAACTTGCCAGCGAGTAGCATCCAGAACAGCCGGGCGTCGCCGTCACGAACCCAGAAGGAAGCATTTCGCTGGAATACTGGCCACTCTGGCTCCTCGCTGATCCAACACCAGCCGCTGGTGGTCACCGGCAGCGAGTAGCCAAGTGCGCCGCTTAACAATGCGCCGACGGTCACTGCTGTCGGGATTCCGAGGCACACGGCCGCATACACCGGCACGAGGCGCTTCCCTAGCTCGATGTTGTCTCGTACAATGGTGATGTGAAGGTAGACAGCCAGCGCAACCGTCCAGCAGAATGTAGCCATCGACGACCAGGTGGTCACTATGCTCTGGAATCGGCAGCTAAAAGGATTGTCGAGCATGAAATGAGGACCATAATATAGAGCTGCCATTGCCGAAGCACCATAGCCAACTGCACTTGCATAATCAGCGAACGACAGGCATGCTAAAATAAATCGAGACGTGGTTCGTATCCGCGGCCATAGGGCGTACGAAACTATTATTGTGGCACTGCCAAACAGCGACAAGATTGATGACGTAACGACTACGGCATTAACACTATCCTTGACATCAAGCACCATCGCTGAAGCCGGCAAAGTCTGCTTCCATGCGCGGAAGCTCTCGCTCTTCTGCTCGGAGCGTCCCGGCAGTATGCCAATACTGGAATCTCCCACTCAGCTACGATTCAAAGCTGTTCCCGTCTTCGCACTGCAATTCCAGACGTTTGCCCGTGACTCACAACCAATCCGAAACAGGATACTAGTAATAATTAATCTGGTCGCTACACTCTGTCTCTAGCAGCTAGAAACACTTGGTCAAGGAGCCCACGATTTACAAGCAACAGCAACAACTGTGGGAGATATGCACACGAAATCGTACAAGTAGACGTACTTCGAAGCACAACATACGGCGTTCGTGTCATTTCTTTCAAACAGACGGGAAAGTACTTTGTCCCCTTCGAGTAGTTTCAGCAGGACAGACGTCGTGACGACAGTTTTGACGTTACAGAGAGGTGACTTGAGGTTGCTCTTTGACGCGTAGATCGACGGGCGCGGGTTTCCGAGCAGTCTACTACTTGTCTTTGTACTTTCTTCATTCATTCAGCGTGACAGGATCATCCACCGGATTGGACTACTGTAGCTCCAAGATCGTGACAGCACAGTCGTCATCCGCCTAACTAGAGCTCATGCAATCTGAGGCTTCTGAGCTGAGCAAACAGAACACGAAGCTGCTCCGAAATTCAAAAAATTCAAAATCGGCGAAATAATTATAATCCCTGTATGTACACCATATGTACACGGAAAGAAAGTTGGCCATTGGGGATATCGCGCGTACCGTACACCGGCACATATTGTACAGTAATCAGTATGTACACAACAATGAACTGTACTACTTTTTTTCTCTTTTACGTTTACTGTCTTTATACCAGGCGTTGGCCATCCCCTGTACATACAGCAGTACAGTGTATACATGTAGGTGCCATCATTTTTCTTTGTTTCAATAAAATTGTGTTGTTTTTGAAAAAAAAAAAAAAAAACAACACAACAATGAACAACTACTACACTGTAGTAGTAACGCCGTACTAACGGTACTTCAAGAGCAAAATGTGAATAAAACACTATTGTTTTTATTTTGTATTTCGGTATTTAAAACCTACAATAGGGTTGTGGACGCTTGATACGTACATGCACAGTCCTTCCTTCATTCAATCTTCATCAAGGGAGTAGTTTCAACTGTGTACATGTAAATAAGATGGGTTACGTAATTATTAGGGGCTGTCGGTGTCGGACCATCCATGCTGACGGCTCCTTTAAAAAATATGGGGCATCGCCACCATAATGATAAGGGTGTTAAACCGTACAAACGTTGAACCCTCCTACAAACCCGTACACTATGTGTATGTAAAGTCAATTACCGGTATGACAGCCATGTGCGCGATACTAGTACCTGGTAAATGCCAAAATGGAGGTTTCGCCCTGATCGCTGTGCCTCTTTCCCCTGTCGTACGATTTGTACTGTCATGACCAGGGAGTCGTAAGACTCGCACCATTTTACGACTCCGTAATACACTCGGATGTCTCTTATCCGGGTACCTTGGGACCGGGCGATGCCCGTATCTCAGGATAACTCATCTACCATGTATCATGTCTACTCAATATGTCTATTTTGAAGAAGTTTATTTGGCACGTATTGCACATGTTCAGGTTACAGAAAGAACCCCGATGATTGATGAAAATGTGTGGATTTCACAGGTTGGCAGTGACAAAAAAGCACTTGTGCATACGAAAAAAAGTTCAAACACCCCAAATTCCAAGCATTTTTGCCATAGGAACTCAAGCTGAAGGTGCCCGGTAGAGAGACGTGCCCGTATCTGAGGCGTCCGGATAAGAAACGTTTGAGTGTACTATAATATAATATTTATAAAAAGTAAAAAAGGACCAAGGAACTACAACTTACAACAAGAGTATGGTTTATGTACTGTTGGTTACACTATAATGTCCACTAACACCACCACTAACACCACCAGTTACTAAACAGTCAGCTCATGCGATAACGGTGGTGTTAGTGGACATTATTATAGTGTAACTTGTACATGTAGTTCCTTGGTTGATAAATATGGTGGTAAAGACACACCTGGCAATATGGCGGTAAACCCAAACCAAAAAAACTTGATACAACTGAGCTGTGCAGCAGGAGACCTGTTAGAATCCTGCGTATACATACTACATCAAACAATGATGTAATCCCCAGGAATTTGTGACAGGAACCCATTGAAGCTGTACACTCTTGGTCTTATGTGCTACGTAAGATACTTCAAGAGTTTGGATTTCTCTGGCCAGAACTATAGTGCCACCAAGAGGTGGTACTACATGTATGCTCGCTGATCTTAAGGATCCTTCGGGGCAGCTCCCCGTATCCGAACACTTAGGCTGTGATCGTTTGGTCGGATCCGGATCCAGATCCAAATCTCAGATCCGTCGGATTCTTCAGAATCAACCAATCACTTTTTTTGACCTTGGCTGTTGCAATGTTGACGAAGTAAAAAATGGCGCTGACAGGTCACCCAAAAGGGCGAAAGTCGTACTGATTGCGCGCGTGCGCGACGTCCGTAAAGTCAACAAGACTCGACTAGTCGTATGACAATGAGTACAAAAATGATTTTGACCCGCCATATATACGCACAAAGGTCACATTTGGATCCGATGGATCCAGTCAACCCTGCTCCCGGGGCAGGGTTGCTCGGATCCGAATCCGGATTCGACCAATCAATCACTGCAGATCCAGTAGATCTGAATCTGGATCCGGATTCGACCGAACGATCACAGCCCTAGACAGTGTTGTGAATGTACTGACTGGCATATTCTGACATTGTAAATCGGTCTCATAAGTCAAATCGTAGGCACTAGTGTTGAAACGAATAATCGAATAATCGAATAATTTAGAATATTCGTGGGGTGAACGAATAATCGAATAGTCGTAGGAATTATCAAAAATCGAAAAAAAAAAAAAAAAAAAAAAAAAAAAAAGGTCTTTGCTCAGTGCTGACCCTGCTGATATTTGCACGGCGTAGATCTGCTCGTAGTATTTCTTCTCAATCTCCTCTCCTCCAAGTTTTAATCTCCTATCGGTATCTAGTAATACTTCTGTTCTTTCCATACGAGGGAAACATGGATGCAGTGAATGTGATTTTCGGTCTTTGACCACTTTCGACCAAGACCCTATGTAGAGCTGGATCAGGCGTTGCACACTCTGCAGTCTGGGGGGGGGGGGGGGGGGGGGGGGGGGCGGGGGGGTTATGTACTCTTGGCGGTACGAGTATAGGTTAACCGGTTTTGCACCTCCACATAACAAAATCCGATATTAATCAGCAAAAAATTAAAAAAAACTACTTAAAAAGTGCTGAAAAAGTGTTGAAAAATGCCATCATGCGTATGATAGAATATAGATTATTCGTTCGATGGAGGGCGAAATTATTCGATAGATTATTCGTTCGAAGAATCCGTGTTCGGTTTAAACACTAGTAGGCACCCACAAAGGAGTGCCTACAAAGTTAGTTGTCTAAAATCGTCACTCTGTTTGAAAGGTTCAATGCGTACTCGTAGTCATAAGTGCACGAGACCTAAGTGGTAAATCATTCAGCAAACCAGACACTCACAAAGACCCAGAGGACTGCAAAACCTTTCCTCTCTCAGAGTCAGTGGAGAAAGCATAGTGACATTGGTGTAACCGTGTTGCAAACAAATGTTTAAAAAACCTGACAAACACATTAAAAGCCACGACTCAGTACTGAAAATACCCTTGAATACAAAAAGTAACAACTGCGCTCGCCCCCTAATACTATGTACAGAGATAGCATGTTTGTATGCTTGGACACAATTGGCAGAATTGTTTCATCAAGCTTGGCTAAACAGCTGATGGTAGCACTCCAAGTGGTACCACATCGACCCCCAAATCTCGGAACTTCAAGAGCAGATTGAAATCCCCGAATGAAGAAAGAAGGATAAAGGTATGTGTATCACCCACAGTGGGGGGGGGGGGGGGGGGGGGGGGGGTTGTATCTAGCACTTGTACATGGAGGACTTCTATAGTATGCAGTAAATGTTCATGACTTTGAATCCTCAACATCTAATTTCTGGAAATGGAAAATTATGTCTTAGCTCGCTTGTCGTCTTCTTCGTTTGGAGCACCATCGGAGTGTTTCCGTTTACGGCGACTTTGTAGGATGTGGCCATGCAAGGAGCTCCACACCTGCATCTCCCTCGCTGCATGCTGGCCAGCTGAGAATACACGTCGCTCTGACACATCGAGTCGACGGATGAACGTACTGGTATCCGCCACATACGAGTGCTGAGCTTTGTCGATCACACCGAGCACTCTGTTCAAATAGCTCTGCACACCGCGCACACAGGGTGAATGAGAGAGAGAGAGAGAGAGTGAGTGAGGGAGAGAGAGAGAGAGACGCACACACATATGCATGTGGAGGGAGAGAGGCAAAGATACACAAATACACACTTGCGCCAGCACAACAATCTCAATCTAAATAAGAACAATGTACACTCGAACGTCTCATATCCCGGCACCTTGGAACCGGGCACTGCCCGTGTCTCAGACTTGCCCGTATCTCAGGATAACTCATCTACGATGTATCATATCATTTGAAGAGGTTTAATTGGCACATATTGCACATGTTCAGGATACAAAAAGAATCCATTGATAAAAATGTGTGGATTACATAGGTTGGCAGTGACAAATAAGCACTTGTGCATACAAAAAAAAAGTTCAACCCCCCAAATTCGAAGCATTTTTGCCATCGGAACTCAAGCTGAAAGTGCCCGTATGTGAGGCGGCCGGATAAGAGACGTTTGGGTGTACAAGAAGAAGAGGATGAGTAATTATTCGTTGTAACTCCGAGCAATGTACTTATATGTCTTGGCACTGAAAACCAGTCCCCGGCCAGAGCAAGAGTCTAACATCGAACACCTTCTCCGTATTGTCGCTCAACAATTTCTCATGCTCAATATTAATTTTAGAAAATTGTGAACGGTAGGTACCATTCGGCTGTTCAATAATTTCACAACGAACGAGTTATTTGGTGTTTCTGGTGTGTATAATGGCTACCGAGGGTAACAACATGTCGGCTGAGAGTGCATGGAGAAGAGGAGAGATTGTTGCATTATCAATTTTAGTGGTTTTAGATACGCAGTAGGACTTTGAACGTACATGTATAGCCTAAAATGCTGAGACGCTCCCTTCCTCCTTTATTCCTAATCCTCGCGCACTTCCACCGAAACTGGGTGACTGTGCCCTGCTAGATGGGGATTTGTATGCAAAGTGTCATTAAAAGCGCCGTTTCGTTCTTATAAAAGCACGGAAGACCGCAATTGGTCCATATGTTGTGGTCTTTCGGACGCTGAGTCGACTGGTTTTGGTCCGAAAAGGCAGCGATCGGCCCGTATTCCCAATCGAACTCGGGTAAGTAAGCGGTCATGTGCTTATGCGTACACCAGTCACCTGGTAGTGTCAGCCCAAATTTGCTCGAGACTTTTCGATATTATGCCGCATAATTTTGCTGCGCTTCTTTCGATATTATGCTTGGCATTTCCGGGAGGAGACGTTATTTTGCTCTGATTATGCTCAATGACAGCTTCAAAAACGCCAAATTTGGACCAAATTTTGGAGAAAATTTCAGAAAAACATCGAAATTTGCTCGGTTTTGATGAGTTCACATTTTAAAGTGTGAAGATTGACCTCACAATGCTCATTACCAAGCTGCCGTGCAAAGGAATTTAGTGTTGAGCATGGACCTAGTACAATACACGCATGTACCTCTGGCGCTGGACGTGAAACTTCGAGTATCTGCGAAATCACGGTGAAAATCTCCAAAAAATTCGAAATTATGCTCCAAATATGCCGGGCAATTCTTTTTCTAAAATGTTTCGATATTATGCCAAAAGAATTGCCGGAAAATTTGGGCTGACACTATCACCTGGTCACCATGCCTAGCGCCTCCAGGCTACAACTTTTACACAATTATGGCGTTCCTGTCACTCCAGTTGAACCTTTGAACTTTTCTGTTTGAGTTGAACCTTGGTCTGAAAGTTGTAGCCTGAAGACACGGTGATCAGGCGACTGGTGTACGCATGAGCACGTGACCGCTTACTTACCTGTGTTTGATTGGGAATACGGGCTGAATGCTGCATCGCTGCCTTTTCGGACCAAAACCAGTCGACTCAGTGTCCGAAAGACTACAACATATGGACCAATTGCGGTCTTCCGTGCTTTTATAAGGGGCCGTCCGGGGTTACCGATTGTTTTTACAAAACGAAAAGTTTTAGTATTTTTCAGCACCCACCCACCCACCCACCTTTTCTGCAGGTAAAACGAATTCCAATAAAATATTGATGTCAATTTTCGACACCGAGAAGTAACTGGGCATTCCCCATCAGCATTCAATAATTATTTTCAAAACGAAACTCCATCAAACCCACCCACCCACAAACGAAAACATTTCGTTTTTAAAATATTATTGGTAACCTTGGACCCTAAGAACGAAACGGCGCTTTTAGTGACAATTTGCATACAAATCCCCTTCTACGGTAGTAGGGCGCAGTCACCCAATTTCGTGGAAGTGCGCGAGTTTGATTGGGCATAAAGGAGGAAGGGAGCGCCTCAACTTCCTCGGACCAAGACCATTCGACTCAGCACCCCGAAGACTCTTTAAAGCCATGGTCTTATACCGTAGAATCCCGCAGATAAGCCCATGGGCTTATCTGTTTCACAAGGACATTTCGGTGGGCTTATACGCGGGCATAGGCTTATACGCCGACACCAAGTTGTGCTATTGAAAAGTATCAAGGAAGTGAGAAGTACATTGCTGAAAACCACTGTGCAAACAAAAACAACCGATGATTGTGCTGAAATGTAGGAAAAAAACTATAATGTGCATGACTACGTACATGGCATGGCCAAGAGTCCATAATTTATGGACTCTCGGTATGACCTAGGCTCATGGGCTTGTACTATGAAGCTTTGTGATGTTCGAACAAACCCTGGACTTATGCGCGGGCATGGGCTTATACGCGGGATTCTACGGTATTCGAAACACCGCTGCTTTCCTAGCTATTTTAGATGTAAAATGACTCACACACTACGCCATGCCATAAAAGTCAAAGTCCACACAGAAATTTCAATCTAAATCCATTTGTTCACCCTTCCTGCTGGGCTGTAAGTTTGTTAGTATAGTATTTTTCCTTCATTTTTACAAAACATACTTCAAATGTCATTTCATTTATGAAGCCCTTGGCTTTATAACTGAGACTGGTTTTGTAATCAAATATACCTCCATGGCATGGGTTTAAAGGTGCGGACATACGGTAGGAAGTTTCACTTGTGCCAGGTCATCACCATGCCCGATGATATCAAGCTGACCGAAGCGGCACCAAGGGTGAGATGGAAAAGATGACAACTATACGCTCAGGTTGCACGCGTTTCAGGAGCTTGATGAGAAAGTAGGATTTACCCAGGTTGCTCTGTCCCAGAAACGATACGTTTTGACCCCAGGATTTCAGGGCAGGAATGATTTCCGTGAACCAATCCTTAGACTCGAACTGAAGATCAGGAATGAGTGTGTGTGTGTGTGTGTGTGTGTGTGTGTGTGTGTGTGTGTGTGTGTGTGTGTGTCTCTCTCTCTCTCTCTCCAGTAGAAGTCCTCTGAACTTTGCCGGAATATGTCTTGGTCAACATCAGAACTCTATGTTGAAAAGTGGTATATATTTTCATGTAAGAATGACGAGTTGACCGTGCGATTTGCTGAGCGATCCAGACACAGCTTACGACTTACGGCCAGTGTTGCTACATCCGAATCGGGTTGATTTAACTGCAATGGAGGTTGCTGAGTACATATGTAGGATCTCCTCAATGGTGTTGGTCAGCGGAGAGAACCGTCAACGCTTACCGAAGATCGTCGTGGACGGAGTGGATGACTACGGGTCACCATCAAGCCGGGATACTGGCAGGCTGCTGAGATGTTGGGATGATGGGCGCAGGTCCATGTTCAATCTATCGCAGGTTGAAGGCGCCGTCGATGACGCTGAGGAAACATTCCGGGACGCCGAAGAAATCGAGGACATTGAACTCATCCAGTTGGTCAAGGACCTGAACACTAGGAAGATCTTTCGACAAGATGCAAGGATGAACAAGTTTACGACCAAAGCTGTCCAGAAAGTTGTTAGTGATCTCGACACGGGTCACACGTATTGTAGTACATTCGAACCCACATGTACATAATACATATTTTAAATAACACCCCATTTTTGGGGCAGGGTGCCCCTGTCACCTAACCCGCTCGTTGCCTGCTACTTGGTAAGCCTTGCACGCAGTTCGCAACAGAGGCAAAACCTCATTAGCTGCATCCACGTTACCCTCACTCCCGAGTAGGGAGCACCCAGTTGACTACCACCTACCTTCCAAATACACTTTATGGGAAAAAACCAAAATGTTGCGGGTAGTTTGGAATTTGACTAGTCGTGATACCTCCCCTCCTCACGCTGGCCACGGGGAAGGTGACACTCCAGAGCTTTTGGAGGATCCCGACATAGTGCCACTGACACCAGTGAGGAAAGTTGGAGGAAAATCCAAGGTGCAGGATCGGTCCGACAGCCCCAACGAAAATCCAGCCACTCCAGCCCCCAAGCGCTAGACAACTGACAACCTACCTACACCTTCGGCCCCGTCTCCCACTTCCGGGGGAATGAATATGGACATGATAAGCCTGATAAATGGCCTGAGGTCGGACCTGCGCGCCGACCTATAAGTTGTAAGTAATGTTGTGGGCCTTGTGGCAGACGGACTGGCGCCAGCACACGAAAATCTACAAAAGATGACAAATTTGCTGCGAAAACAGGCCCTTGACATAGACCTACTCACGAAGCGAGTGGACAGCCTGGAACTCGAGAACACTGGACTACGGAAAGAGGTCAGTGAGTGACGCCAGGATGGTGGAAAATCAGCCATTCTCAACAGGATGTCCCGTTTGAAGGAACATTTGCGCGACCAGCCTCGGGGCCAAACTGTACCTCGTCTGAACCGAGAGCCACATTGGCGGACCGTGAAGGGGAGCACTCAAGATCTGGTTGAGTACCTCCTCAACCAGAAGGGAAGAGAGAACAACACATTACTACACGGTGTGTCGGAATGTCAGTGACAGGACCTCCCCTCACTCACACGGGCCCTTGTCCCGTCAACCACTCCAATCCTAGAGGTGCTGCGTATTGGCAAACCGAGAGAGGGCACAAATGTACGCCCAGACCAATCCTAATCAAAACACAGAGGTCTGGAAAAGCCTCTCTGCTTAGGAATAAAATGACACTCCGCCACAATGGTCGATCTGTTTACGTTAGCCACGACCTAACTCCCTCTCAACAGGCACGAAGGAGGCAGGTACTCCCCACGTTCAAACAATTACGAGGGCTTGGAACTGCTTGTACCCTTCCTTACGACAAGATATTGGTACAAGGAAATCACTGGATGACGCCTGAACTGGCGAGGCTGCTTCAGGACAAGCCTGCACAATGACGAGTCCCCGCACGACAGAATACTATTGCTACCGATACATGCAGCACTCCCCAGAGCACCACTACCTCTATGCGACAGATAAGTATCACTCATTCAAATACATGTAAAAGTATCACTCATTCAAATGCATGTAATAATTATATTACTACTCTCTAGTCATACTATAGCACATGTCAATATTTTGAACAAACTTAGGGACAGCTTCCCTTTTTATTGATCTTCGCATCCTTTGAGCCACACAAGTTGTGTGGAATTTTACTTTGCGTCCTTGAATCGTGGTTTGACCGTATTGTCCAATGGTCTTACCAGTATCGTCATCGACATGCATGAACATCCGCCAACGTCCTTCACAGCTGAGACTTTCAGCTCGTGCTTAGGCCACGCCGTTTTTTTTCTATGTTTCGCGTCACCTTAGTTGATGAAATCAATGAGGGAGGGCGAAAAAATAAAAAAGCCATCCAAAAAAAAACAGTGTGCGTGCATTGCATTTGTGTACAGTGAAGCGACGCGGCACTGTTCATGTACATGTACATTAACATGTACATGAATACATGGGTGTATCCATCTGCCATGCTTGTGGTCCAAACACAGGCGGCATGATGATTGTGTGACTTGCGGCCCAGCTTATTGCACATACATGTACATGTGTGTGAGCTGAGTTACATTTTCCGGTTTTCTGGGTTTGCATTAAATTTGAATTGCATTTTCAAAAAAAAAAATTTGTTCCGTTTTTTCATTTTTTTAACTCCGGCTGTGAAATACATGCGCGCGGGGGACGCGAACCATAGATAAAAAACGGTGTGGCCTTATCTTGGTTGCGCTCACCTTCCCCTCCTTATGTTATCTCTATAACCAAGAGTACATAACCAAGAGTGTGCAACTCCTATCTTGAGCTGCGATGGGTTCACCCACGGCGGAATTTTTTTATTGCCTCATTCTTTGGCAGAAGCATGACGAAGTGGGTATGGTTTCCCGCGTTTGTTTTGTAGATACGGTGGGAGTTCGTCAGGTTCAAGACACATCGATCTATCGTCCGTTGTTCTGCTTCGACTACCCCCCCCCCCCCTCCCCTACTATTTTGACCTGGCTAGAACCCTGCATATGTAGTTCACTGCATTCAGTATCAGCTCCTACCTCAAAGAGGGATCTAGAGACGTCGGCACGTTCTGGGTGCTGAAATGACAGGATTTTGCACCCCACAGCATAGAAGTATGGTCCCAGCTTATGCAGATCCACGACGTTGGCATCGGCTGCAAGAATTTCCCGGTACGAATCCTTGTAGTACTTCGGTAAATCTACCGACACAATGGGCGTTCTTTGGTTCTTCAGTGCATTTGCCAGCCAAATAGGGAAATCCAGCTTGGATCCACGCACAATGTGCTCACTCTCAGATGTTGCGTCCAAGTAGCCAAGTCGAATCAGAGGTAGGTCCAGTACGCACGGCACCTTTTCTTGCGATGATAAGATATCGTCAATGCTAAAATAATCGCCTCCCCTGAGAAGATCCATTGGCAGTTTTGTTTACGATAGACTTCAGAGCTCAATTTCAAAATACATACATGGACTGGTATCTGACGATGGCCGTCAGGTCGGGTAGGGAAATAAGTAGGCCATCCACGTATACCAAGGCTTTGGTCCGCAATGGCTCCAGGTAACGACGTGCTTTGCTGTAGTGTAGTCGTCGAATCACACAATTTATTAGTTAGCTCACACACACAGTCACATACCGGTAACCACTGATAACTCGAAGCTCCCAAAGATACACATTCCAGGTGGTACAGGTGTCGATTGGGGAAGTCATCCTCTTCGTTTTGAATCTGCAAAAATGTAGCGGCAAAGTCAAATAAAATTAATGATTATTATTCTCCACTATGTCATACTGACGTCACGATGACAATATCGATTGCGCGGAGGAAAAGGCTAGGCTGTACGATTCAATCTCCCAATTTCAAATCAAAAGTTTGGTGGCTGCAAACATGTGAATGGGTTACTGGAGCCCTTGCCACTCTCAGTCTCAGTACTACTGTACTGTTGAGTGTTGTTGTTCTAGTTGTTACCAGTGGCGCTTCTCGTCCCCTATCGTAGCATTCTGACTTCAGCCCGTCCAGAACCGCCTTCGGGTCTCATTCGAGCCGGAATAATAGACATACGGCTGTTACGGGTATAAATGCAGAGAGATTGCAGTCTTACTTTCTCCCAATAGAGAACAGCTTTTGTGTTCTTTATTTGCCTATGACTAGTATGAGCATTACTCCTGCTGCTCTGCCCGAACACGTAGCTCTGCAGGCTTCACAGAGGGCTGTCTATTTTACTAGCAGTTTGCAAGACTCAAGAGCTGAGCTACGAAGCACCGTCTAAACAGCCTTTGTCAACATGACTGGTACGGAGTACAAGGTGGCTAGGTACAAGACAGATGAATTTTGGAAGCGTCTGGAGTCGGAAGACCTGGAGGAGCGTCTTGCTACCGTGTGCGATGCCAAAAATGCCGTCATCGGCCTGATATGTGCCAAATGCTATTTTGTGGATCGGGGCATTTACTCGCTCATGTCGCGCAACATCCAGGAGTATTCGCCAGGAGAAGATGCAGTTACAGCCGACCTGCGTGTTCAATCCACGTTGGTGATGGGACTAGTGTGCCATTCGATTGAGCATGCACAGCGTGCAGTTCGCACGGTCAGTATTGACCTGCTCACCAAGCAGTTGTGTTTAGAAGGGCCGGTTGTGGCAGCCACGTTGTCTATGCTACACGGCATGTGCATATGCTCGGAAGGCCGCACAGCAGTCATCCAGCACGCAGCGAACAGCCTGTTTGGTTTCCTGCAGCCGGTGCTACCCATGGACGACGCGGCGTGTCGTCGGACGGAGCTTGCGGCGCGGATATTCGGCATCTTGTCTATAGATCCAGAGTTTTGCATGCGAATGCTGCAAAATGATGTGCTGAAGCACCTGGTTCGGATTCTGGATACCAAGCCAGCCACATTCCTTACCTATACCAGTCTACAGTGTGCGGCTAGCACTCTGGCTGGTGTTGTGCCTGCCGGTGCACGGCTTGAAGATTTCAAGGTTCTTGCAGAATTCCATGCGGAAGCGTTGTTCTCCACAGAAAGTCTAAGCTGCTACTTGTCTGATGTTCATCACATCCCCTTCCAAGTGTGCGCTGCCCAGATCATGTGCTATGTTGTGATGACAACTGCAGCAGGGATCCAGCCAGGTGCACCGTCTCCTCACCGGGACTTCATTCGTCAGCGGCTTCTTCCTCTCCTGAGTAGAATATCCCTCGCTGAACAGAGTCCCGTCGTCACCCAGCTGGAGTGCCACAGTCTGCACTTGATCTGTTTACTGATCCGTTGCTTTCCTGTGGATGTTGGCGAGGTCGTGTACCAAACTGAAGCGTTAGCACAGAACGTGCTCAAGCGCATTCACGATGCCCAGTCGGGTAGAGCCCGCGGCGCTTGCGGTGTGGCATGGACGTTTGTGGCCAACGCACTGCGCTGCCTGGCCGAGATGTGTGCATGCTCGGAGGAGAATTGCTTGCGTGTCAGCAAGATGCCCGGTATACAGGAATGTGTGCGCATTTCCCTGGATAAGCGCTGTGTTAGCATTCAGGCGAAGGAATCATCTATTCTGCTCATGCTTGCTTTCTCCAGAGTAGTTGAAGTCTGCCGTTCTCGTCTCGTGGAGATGAAGGTGTGGGAACCAGTTGCTGAAGTTCTTAAAAATGCAAGTGATTACATGAACAAGGCACCACATATCCTTGTTGGTTGCTGCAGGCTTCTTGCTAATATCCTGTTACCGTTCTCTGGCATGCAGGGTCTGGTTGCTAAAGCAGGTGCTCTCTATGATATCAAAGCCATCATGAGCAATCTGGTTAACCAGCCAGACCTTTGTGGCTTACACCGGAACGAGATTCTGTGCGAGGTGCTGCTCGCGTTTCGCAACGCCATATTTCAGATGGTATCCGAAGATCTTCGCTCTGGTTTGACCCCCCTGATCATGGCAGGCTTTGCCTGGGATCTGTTCGTCTTTGTTGATCCAGAGCGCAGCTTTTCAGAAGATGTATGTTTGGCAGCTATGAAGTTACTGGCACAAGTGGATATGGTGGCGCCAATCGAACTTGAACCTGCCAAAAATGGCCTGGACAACATGTACCTTCATCTGAGGAAAGGACTCGACAAGGGGCCGTGGAATTCCGTGATCTGGACTTTGTACGCCTTGAACCAGATCGTGAAGAGTAGAGGTGTGCAGCAGGATGGCCTGCTTGGCTCCAACACGGAAATGCTGCTGCGAGGGATTCTGGATTGCCTGAAGCATCCACGGCACGAAGTTCAGGTAAGCTCCCGTATGCTGGTACTCGCTGCTGGACTGTACATGTAGTGAAGCTACTAGTTCTGTTAACCTGTTTTTGTGTCTTCCAATCTGGCCATTATACAGCGGGTAACTTTGGTGCAATTTTGCGCACCATGCCTATGTGGTAAATATGTTTGGTCAAACTGTTGCTTTGTAAACTGCATGTTGTAGTGGTACAGTTGAACATCGATTATCCGACCACCTCTGGGCAGACAACTGTCAGGCGGTGTTCAGATAAGGCAAATGTTCTGGATAAGAAAAAAACTGTCACTCACACACTTTCAGTGGTTATTACTAGCCGCACGACCTTTTTACTTTTTACTTTTCAAAATTTTCGTATTTTTTTGAATGGCTCGCTACATGCACAGTGTGTACTCTACGGCACGTGCGCCCAAAAAAAACTGTTACGGATAATCGAATGGTCGGATAGTCGATGTGCGGATAATCGATGTTCAACTGTAGTAGTATTCGTTTATCTTCCATTAGAAGCCTCAACAGTGATAAACACAACTCTTCAGAGGGCCGATAACACAGTAGAGGGGTGGGTTGAGAAAAAAAAGAAAAAAATTCGGGCTGAAACGATTATACCGAATAATTGAGTACAGTCAGACCTCGCTTAACCGCACACATCTGTTTTCCACAAAAACATCCGGATAGGCGAGGTAACCGGATAACTGAACACACATACTGTACATGCATGTGGCATGTCAAAAGCAGTGACATCATACATACATGTAGACAGGTCCTATGCAGTACAACTAGCGTGCCCAGTATGTAAAACAAGCGAGAAAAATAAAAAGTGCATGCAACTGAGTGCCGTCCACCCAGCAGGTCAAGGACCTCAAATTTTGCTTGTACAACTCCTTGATACTAGCTTCTGCAAGCTCTAGCCAGCCACATGCAACCGGATACGACGAAGCATTTTGTACACATTTTAACCAGTTTGTACACAAAATCATGCACCGGTATGCGGATCGCGAGGTCCGGTTATGTTGTATGCATAACATATGCTACACATCGGTAACCAGCGATTTTCTTCCGGATGGCGAGGGATCCGGATAGACGAGGACCGGATAAACGAGGTCTGACTGTACTCTTCTAAGCACTCGCAGACTCCATTGCAGCCGCTCACACATTACAGGGTACCTCACTTCAAACTCTCCAACTACGGTCATGCCCGAAAATTTGGTGCATTCCATTTGTATCTAATATTATTAATTTTTTTGGAAGTGAAGTGAACTTACGCAGCGAAGAGACCGTAGTTGGAGAGTTTGAAGTGAGGTACCCTGTAATCGAGTACTCGTTTGATAACTCTAACGATCGAGCAATCGTTTAGATTACCGATTACGATTATTTTGCGTTTTTTTTATTTGTGTCCAGAAAGTACTGTAAACCCTCGTTTTGTGAAGTTTGAATCAGTTTCCGCTGGGAGTATGCAGTTGCCAGGGGTATGGTTCATGTTCTAAGGTTAAATTGACTTCAAAACTGCCATGTTTCGGAGCTACCCTTTCACTAATGCAGATTTGTTGGTATTATGAATGCATAGTATTTTGAAGGCATAGTTTGTGGAAACAGAGTAATGTTTGTACAGAATTATGACTCTATTTGCTGACGATTATAATCGATTACTTGATCGTTAAGCTAAAGAGTAATCGATACGTGAAAATCCACGATCGTTTCAGCCCTAAAAAAAAGTCAAGATACATGATTGTATGTATTAAAGGGACTACTGTAAGTCAGCAAATATTCGGCGCATCGCTATTTTCGGCCAGGTCACATTTGGCCGAAATTTTGTTTTGCAAGGTTCAGTATGACAGTGTATATCGGAAGCAGCAGTACAGGCCGAACATTTAATACGGCTGAAATGTGTTTTAGCCCTTGGAGGCCGAAATTTGAATGGGCCGAAAATTTGTCGACTTACAGTAATGGGATGAAGGCAAGAATTAAAGAGATATATAAACCGAATTAAACCAGGAGCGCAATAAACACAGTGTACCGGTACTTGTTATTCTCCGGCATGCATGTACAATATACATCTACTACCTGTATGTGAGGTAAAGTTGTGTGTAGTATGACTGCTTGTAGTGGCCTCGCAATGATTTGAAGGTGACCTAAGCTATTATGCCATGCCAACCCCGGGTATTATAATATTATTCCCGTAGCTATGCAGAAGACGTTACTTCAGTAACGTCTGGCGCTAGCCAGGGTCCACACAGCTTTAATTTGGTATTTGTTTGTTTGTGTGTTTGTTTGTTTGTTTGTTTGTGTCACGCCTGGCGCTATCCCGTATCTGTCCCGTATCTGTCCCGTATCTGTGACTACAAAGGCTCTACAGGATTGTACATAACAGCTGTCCACAATCTTTGCGGGCTCCTGTATCTGTCCCGTACCGTACCAATATTCGTCGTATTAAGTATACGACTCCCTGATGTAGAGGGAGATTTGGAATGAAATAGGGAGACGAGGAGGAAATTAAATTAGAATAGACGCCGAATAGGTGATAGGATGCGTCAGCATAAACAGCGTCAGCATAAACATACATGTACTTTGGAAGAGAGATCGCATCGTCTCCAAAATAAGCGTGAACGAGCGATTCAGCGCCGGTCACAGGAAACGTCGGAAGAGAGATCCCGTCGACTCCAGAACGCCCGTAATCGGCAGAGTCCGCCGGTCACAGGCAACGTCAGGACAGACATCTCGTTGAGTCCAGAACGCCCGTGATCGGCAGAGTCTAAGCCGGTCCCAGGAAACGTCAGGACAGACATCCTGTCGAGTCCAGAACGCCCGTGATCGGCAGAGTCAGCGCCGGTCCCAGTGAACGTCAGGACAGACATCCCGTCGATGCGCAGAAAAACGAAATCTGCAGCCTCTTTTGCCGTCGGACAGGATACGTATTATAGGAGACTGTAAAGTTATGTAATGTCCAAATTTCCACGTGAGCAGCAGGTCACTCGCGTTGATTTTTCGACGTGCGAGCCAAATAACGCGAGCTGAACTTTCGCGTCGCAGACATCCCGTCGACGCGCAGAAAAACTAAATCTGCAGACTCTTTTGCCGTCGGACAGGATACGTATTTAAAGAGACTGCTAAGTTATGTAATGTGCTCCACAGGCAACCATGCATTCGGCGGCGTCATTGGCTCAACAGGTCAATGTACATGTATTACTACAAAAAGGCCAGAAAATCCGATTACTGTATTAAAATCAACTAATTTTCGCTGGCGATTTAATTTCGCTGATTTCGCCGCTTGGTACCAACCGTCCAAAGTAAATCACAGGCCAAAGTTTGTCATATAGGAAACTAGCAGCACCCCCGCCAGCGTTGCCTGGCCGAATGTGGCATGCGGGTGAAGCAAGTTAGTACATGAACAGCACACGTGCTCAGCACGTGGTGGTGGCCAGACCGCTGAAGTCCTGGTGAGCTGAGGTTCTTCATCGTTGGAAGGAGAAGGAGGGACGTCTGTTACGCCTTCGGGAGGCTGGTCAGGGTTGTCCATCACCTGGTGGCGGATGAAGCGGCTCAAAAAATTCAAAAACTTACGAACAAAAGTGCGATGCGCTCTTCACTGCAGATCAGATGCAGAGTGCAGTCAGTGCAGATCTTTTGTATCCTTTTGTTGCAGATGTTTCTATTTGCAGAGAACGGTCGGTTCACGTGGTCCGCAGCGCTTGTGCGGCTGCTAGTGCTACCTATGGCCTAGGCTAGGTGGCTACATGATTCGCACGCTTCGCGTGCTCAGTGCTTCTGCGCGCGGCTGCTACTGCTACTCGTACTGATCGTGTCTGCTATAGTATAAGTATAAGCGCTACCACCGTAGAAATAAAAAATCCGAAGGAAATACGACAATTTTACTGCGTCTGTAGCTTGTGTTGTAGCGCACCCATGTTCTGAATTCCTGCTGGGTGGGTCAAGCCAGACTCTCTTCCCTGTTCCATCGCCTCTCCAAAAGTATATTCTGACATTGTTGAGATTTACAGATGAGAAATTGCACACCTGTCAAATCGTTTCTGATTCGAGCACCCGGGTCTACAGTGGTCTACGTACCTACACTGTCATGTTCGCACGCTTCGCGTGCTCAGCACGTGGTGCACCGGTGGTGGCTACACGATTCGAACGCTTCGCGTGCTCAACACTGCAGTGCTTCTGTGGCCGGCTGCTTCCGCTAGCTACACGATTCGCACGCTTCGCGTGCTCAGTGCTTCTGCGGCCGCTAGCGCATAGCTACACTGTTCGCACGCTTCGCGTGCTCAGGGCAGCGCTGCTCCGCAGCGCTTCAGCGTGACACAAAAACACACGTCACAGGTGCCTCTTCTTTATAAGGAGCGTGACACACACACACACACAGACACACGTCACAGGTGCCTCTCTTTTATAAGTAAAGATTGATGCATTATTGAGCAATGGATGCATGTGAGAGCAAAAATACCTATCGATTTCAAATTTGACGTGAAATTGCGCGTCACGTCGGAAATAACGTGCATCTTAACCTCTCTAATAGAGAGGTTTCTTATTTTCTCATCAGCCAAAATTTGTTGATTTACAGTATAAGGAGATAAAAAGAAAAGAAGGAGCAAACCAAAAGAAGATAATTATTAGAGAAATAACAATCCGCAATAAATTCTGCAAATACTTTTGCCTCAGTTCTTATAACATGTACGATGAGCTAGGCAAAAAAGCATAAAAGCATAGCGTAGGGCCCTGAGCTTCCAAGCTCTCTCGTTCCCGTAGCTATGCAGAAGACGTTACTTCAGTAACGTCTGGCGCTAGCCAGGGTCCACACAGCTTTAATTCCCGTAGCTATGCAGAAGACGTTACTTCAGTAACGTCTGGCGCTAGCCAGGGTCCACACAGCTTTAATTCCCGTAGCTATGCAGAAGACGTTACTTCAGTAACGTCTGGCGCTAGCCAGGGTCCACACAGCTTTAATTCCCGTAGCTATGCAGAAGACGTTACTTCAGTAACGTCTGGCGCTAGCCAGGGTC